ATACTTGGTTATCAAGACATGTTTCAGTTTCAGGAGGATGGCCGTGCTGGTCTGCAGTAGAAGAGCTAGATTTGCGTCTAGTAGCATCTTCAGAGCCCAACAAGCTTCTTTTCTCAGATAGGGAACTTTGGCTCTCAAAAGATCACACCCTCAAAATTTTGTTGGTTTCTGGGACACTACTGGACTTTAATCAAGACATGTTTCATCTGCTCTAGCTCTTTACTAGAAAATCTAATGAAGGATGAGGTAAAGGTTTCCCTTGCTCGAAAGCCAGTCGAATCCAACTCTAGGGGGTGGTGCTCATCTCCGTTTCCAAGCTGAAGAGCCAGCACTGGCCGAAGACGTTTCTGTGGTCATGTGGCCGGCATGACTAAACGCCAAAGCGCACGGAACGCTGTTACCTTCCCACCGATGTGGTACCTATTTATCTACTTGCAATTTCTTGCTTTCGAACTGCTAGGTTGGCAGGAGCTGGGGTCAGAGATGGGAGCTCACTCCATCACACGGCACTTGGGTCTTGAACTGCTGCATTACCGACCTTCCGGTCTGCAGTTCAGCGTCTTAACCACTGAGCCACCACAGCCCCACCCTAATGAAGGTTGGCAGGAAACAATTCAGAGGACACTCATAAACCGGGGCTGGCCCAACCGTATAGTTGAACTAGGTGGCTGCCTAGATGTCAAAGCAGACAGAAGTGGATTTCTGTATTAAAGATATCTTATTAATATGTTTATTTATAATTTTAATAATTAAAAAATTAATATGTACAAATTATAAAACAGTGCATGTTACCTTGTAATTGTACAATGTGGCACTATACACAGTATTCACATTGTAGAATGTGGCAGCATATGCAAATACAGTGAAAAGGTGTTGCTGCATAGTTTCAAAGGAATGGGAATGTGGTTTGGCAGCAGTGTCATACTCAGAGGCCCAGTGCCGGCCAGTCATACAGCTGAGTCTGTAGTACTTGCCACATGACAAGCTGGGATCCCAAAAAGTTCATTCTAGACTCCTCATTTTTCTCTATATTGAATGGAAGGAGGGCAAGTCTGTCTAGTGTATCATAGACTGCCTAGTGTACCAAAAACCTTTGGGCCAGCCCTGACACAAAGTTCTCTACTGCTGTTATTTCTCCGCTGAATTTGATTCGTCTATTCACAAGCATGACACAGTCAAACAGGCAAGACTGTATGTATGTTTTACTTCCCTCATTTCATTTACAGATTGAAGCAAACTATCCCAATACATATTGCTGGGAACAGTGTATGGCTGTAATGTCTGGTCAGCCCGGGGGTCATTTCGTAGAAAAAGAGCTAGGGGAACTCATTAGCATATGCCACACCCACCAGAAGTGTTTCATAAGGCCACACACCCCACCCCCAACGGTCCCGGCCGCCGCCGCCGCCCTTGCAGCTCTACTGCCGAACCCCATGAGGGGCCCCTTTGCCATGTGCCCCCCCCCCGTACCTCACCGGGGGAACTGCGTTCCCGCACGTTCCCCCCCCGAAATGACCTCTGGGTCAGCCTCACATGTCAAATGTTGTATAAAATAGCAAAGAATTTACGAATCCCCAGTTGCACCCCACTCCTGTAATATTGCTTGAGGTTGCAATGGCATTCCACCAAAGCAAGCAGCATCTTAAGCTTCTCTCTTTGGCATCAAAAGTATCACCCCATGTGACCTCTGCAGCTGCATACAGATGCCTCCAATTAAAAGATGCATCAGCTCAGCACTTGCAGTCCCCACAGTCGGGCGTTCTCGTCTGTAACGGCCCGTACGACCAAGAGGCAGATCGATGGCTAGCACAGACCGATCAGTCTGTACAGCTGCCTCCTGGCAACACAGTGAGCACATCCTGGGGTGATTCCTGCTCTGTACTGCAAAGTGAAACTGGAAAGCACCAAAACCATTCAAAAACCCCTTCTCTGGAGATCTGCACAAACCTTGACTTCTAAGGCAATCTTTGCCATTCGTCCTAGTGCCCCTCTGAATCCTTCTCTCCCAGATGGAATTCAGTCCCGTTGATCTCTTTCCTGCACGTGGGAATATGGAGCATTTTTTAAGGCTTGAACTGGATCGTGTCTAATTTGTACAGGTGAAAGGTGAGGCTTCTTAAGATGCGGAAGTCTTTGTTCAGTATCATACCAACAGCTAACGCCCCAAGGTCCTGTACAGCTCTTTTTCTAGATAAACATCAGTGTTCCCTCTAAGCTGAGTTAGTGTGAGCTAGCTCACAATTTTTTAGCCTCCAGCTCACATTTTTGTCTTTGCTCAGGAAGGATGGCTCCAGAACAAATTAATTTATGCAGTAGCCAAATGCCTCACTCACTTTAATGCCAGTAGCTCACAAAGTAGAATTTTTGCTCACAAGACTCCACAGCTTAGAGGGAACATTGATAAACATACGTACATATCCTTGGCTATTTCTATTAGCAGCCAAAATTCTGGAAACTGTCATGAGGAAGGTGGCTCATGCTTCCTAGTACTAAATGTTTTCACTCTGCCAGTGATTCAGCTGCATTGTCTGCGCCAAAGAGATTTGCCTAGTTTGTAGCAAAACAAGATCAGAGCTGTGTGCCATTTAATTTGGATCCAATAATTTATCTGGATTCTTCAAATCTGTCTTGCCTGCTTGCAATTATTTGTAAATTTGGGAGCGGCAAATAGCCTCTCCACTATCCTGCTTGCTTGGTCAGAAATATTTTTTCCATCTAAGGTACCTTTTCATTCAATAAGACTTTCACTGAACAACTTTTCCACACAATACAGGCCACAAAGAAACCTATAGACCACCTGCTCCAACCGTCTTGTGACAGTCCCACCTATATGTGCCTCGCTACAATTCATACCACCATAGGACAAAAGCAATGCAGATTTGCAGAAAGGTGCTTGCAAAGCACACACAACATGGCTGTAAGTGTAATATTACAGTGGTGCTGCATTTCATCTTTGTTACTCCTGTTTAGCAATGACAAACAGGACTGGGACTTAAGAGAATGTGTGCAGTGTGGAATTTTATTTTTGCAATGCTTGATGTTTTATGGCACCAAGTTTGTGGGGAAATGCAATAATGACATAATGGTGGGAGATGGCAGAGTTGTCAGTCCAGGGCCCTGCTGCATTAAAAGTCCATTCGTCCCAGGTTTAACTGAGTTACTCCACGTATAGAGCAAATCAGCAGATACGGCTGTACACTGTACTTCTATCCTGCTTGCTTGGTCAGAAATATTTTTTCCATCTAAGGTACCTTTTCATTCAATAAGACTTTCACTGAACAACTTGTCTTCCACACAATACAGGCCACAAAGAAACCTATAAACCACCTGGTCCAACCACAAAACCGTCTTGTGACAGTTCCACCTATATGGGCCTCGCTACAATTCATACCACCATAGGACAAAAGCAATGCAGATTTGCAGAAAGGTGCTTGCAAAGCACACACAACATGGCTGTAAGTGTAATATTACAGTGGTGCTGCATTTCATCTTTGTTACTCCTGTTTAGCAATGACAAACAGGACTGGGACTTAAGAGAATGTGTGCAGTGTGGAATTTTATTTTTGCAATGCTTGATGTTTTATGGCACCAAGTTTGTGGGGAAATGCAATAATGACATAATGGTGGGAGATGGCAGAGTTGTCAGTCCAGGGCCCTGCTGCATTAAGAGAAAAAGTCCATTCGTCCCAGGTTTAACTGAGTTACTCCACGTATAGAGCAAATCAGCAGATACGGCTGTACACTGTACTTTCAATACGGGAGAGCCACACTCCCCCCACCAAGACCACATGTATATATTTTAAGGATCCACAGCCAACTGTGCTTGTCCACAGTAATGCAGTCACAAAAGCAAAATCCTTTTGCACACTACAAGCAATATTGTTGGCACACGACAGAGGTATAAAACAGCGTCAATTTTTTAAAAAGTAATAGCTCAGGTTGCATTTAGATAAGACAGCAGGAGACCCATGACTGAACCCTTCAGTTCTTTGGAGTAACCAGCGGCCTTGTGGAGGAGGGGGAGGACTGGTACTGGGGGAAAGTAGTATTCCAATGCAAACCCACTACTTGGAACTGCTATGCATTTCCCACCAATGGCAAATAGCAGCACGGAGGGGGAATCTGAATCAGAAAAATGGTTTTGGCAAAGGGGTTAAGCCCCTCCTTGCTAGCACCCCAGCTCTATCTGAATCAAGTGTTGCATGGCTGCCTGAAACCTTCCCTCTTCGCTAGCAGGACAGAATGTTTATTAAGTCTCACAGCTAATAGACTTATTGGCTTACAGCAGGGGTCCCCAAACATTTGGAATGTGTCTGCAGGCCAAAATGGCTGCCACAGGAGGCGGAGCTAGCCACGAAATGATTGCCCCAGCTTAACTTCAGTAAAACAGTGTGGTAGCAGCAGCTGCCAAAGCAACATTGCACAGCCAAACAAATCAGAAGTCTTGCTAGGCAAAAGCCATACTAGGCCCACCTGCTTTCTCAAAACACTTAGCGGATGCCAGAAAAGGTGTTGACAGGCACCATGGCACCCATAGACACCGTGCTGAGGACCCCTGGCTTGGAGGGTCTCACAAGTTGTGCTGCATTAGGAGCATTGGTGGTGCAAAGTGCCCTCAAGCTGCAGCTGACTTGCAGCAAGCCTGCAGGATTTTCAAGGCAAGAGACGAACAGAGGTGCATTGCCTGCCCCTGCATAACGTCTGTGTTCTTCCTTGGCGGTCTCTCATCCAAGTACTAACCAGGGCTGACCCTGCTTAGCACTCGAGATCTGACGAGATCGGGCTCTTCAGGCTGGGCCATCTGACTGGGATTCCTGACTTGTACGCGTAATGCATCTGACAGTCATTTTGATACCAGAAGCCCATGAATCTTCAAATAAGTTAGCCTTGCTGACCGTCCAAACTCCAGACCTTGGAATTGCCACTTCTGGTCTCCTCAAGCTGGGTACCAAGATTCTCCAGCTGGCTGCCCGCTTTGAAAGAAGAGATTGCACATAGGAAAGACAGTTAACTTAAGGCTTGGGGGAAAGGATGGAAGTAAGCTTGGGAATCCTTTCAGAAACGATATGGGATTCCAGACTCTCTCTCTCTACCTCGATTAGATTACACCCACTCAGCACATGCCAGGTTATTTATTCCAAAGAATAATCAGTTTGAATTGGATTGGGATTCATATGCCTCCTGACTTGCACGCGTAATGCATCTGACAGTCGTTTTGATACCAGAAGCACATGAATCTTCAAATAAGTTAGCCTTGTTGACCGTCCAAACTCCACACCTCTGGTCTCCTCAAGCTGGGTACCAAGATTCTCCAGCTGGCTGCCCGCTTTGAAAGAGGAGACTCTCTCCTGCTCCACATCTGGCCACTGCAGGGGTCTCAACCGCTTTGCAGCTTGTTTTACCAGTATTACGAGAATGTCCAGCAAAGCCATTTTCCCAGTAAAGGCTTTGCTCACTTATCCTCCGCCTCCGGAAACTCCAGGTTCAAGCGTTTTAAGGAGCGAGAGAAGAATCGGGGGGGTCTGCAGACTAAATGGATTTTCTTCTCCTCCTCTCCCTCAGGCAGGGTCAGTTCACAGGCATGCAGGTGAAGGGGGAGGTAACGGACTTTGACCTGTTCCAGACCCAGTCTCTTCAGTGCCTTACCGGGAAGCTTCTGTTTAATAATATGAAGGAAAAGAGAGTGGTGAATTAACTGAATAGCCATCATCATTAGAGTCTCTTTTGAAGATATGAGAAGAGCCTTGCTGGATCTGACCCAACTGTCCACTGTTATGTTTCCCACAATGGCCATGCAGATACTGATGGGAAGCCCCCAAGTGAGGTATGACAGCAACAGCTTTCCCCATGGCTGCTTCCGTAGTATCCTGCCTCTGAATGGGGAAGTTTCCTTTTGCCATCATTGCTAATAGCCACTGTCCTCCATGAATTTTGTCTAGTCTCTTAAAAGTTATCCAGATAGTAATACTGCTATGAAGGCTAATTGAGTATATTTACTTATTCAAATATTTTCTCAGTTCACAGGCATGTAGGTGAAGGGGGAGGTAACGGACTTTGACCTGTTCCAGACCCAGTCTCTTCAGTGCCTTACCGGGAAGCTTCTGTTTAATAATATGAAGCAAAAGAGAGTGGTGAATTAACTGAATAGCCATCATTAGAGTCTCTTTTGAAGATATGAGAAGAGCCTTGCTGGATCTGACCCAACTGTCCACTGTTATGTTTCCCACAATGGCCATGCAGATACTGATGGGAAGCCCCCAAGTGAGGTATGACAGCAACAGCTTTCCCCATGGCTGCTTCCCTAGTATCCTGCCTCTGAATGGGGAAGTTTCCTTTTGCCATCATTGCTAACAGCCACTGTCCTCCATGAATTTGTCTAGTCTCTTAAAAGTTGTCCAGATAGTGATATTGCTATGAAGTAAGGTTAACTGAGTATATTTACTTATTCAAATATTTTCATCCCACTTTTCTCTCCAATGAGGACCCAAAGCACCTTGCGAAATATATTAAAAAATTTAAATAATCAAAACCTTATCCTGGGCTACCTCTGCCAGGCAGCAAGCCTTTTCACGTTGGATCTCCAGTTATGTTTCATTCAATAAAAAGGTTACTTTTCAGTTATGTTGGACTGCCAAGAAATTAGGGGGGAAATCAGAGAAGCCAAAAATCTCAAATGCTGCAGATGTTGTGATCCTCATGTGGCTATAGATGGGAAACTGAGGAAGCCATGAGCAGTTTTACAGATGCACCTCTAGATACAAACTTCATAGTTAAGACAGAACATGTTTTGAAATGGATCACAATGGACTCTTGGCTCAGAGTCCGTAAGTTTAGGGAATTACTGACATTATGCTCTTCGTATGGGGCCAAACAGATCTTTGAATGGAACAGAACAGCAGGATGTGACCATGCCAGCCAACATTCTAGAATCTGACTATGCCAGGCCATGAATTACCCACAGCTGAGATACACTGATGTTTTATCCCACCATCAATGGCTCTTCTCATCATTCATCTCTTACCTGTGGTGCCAACTTGCTCCAGTGTGAGTACTTGTGGTCTCCAAGGACTGGACAGCCCAAGCCATATGCTAAGTGGACTCTGAGCTGGTGTTTCACTCCTGTGTACAGAGCAAAAGGGAAAAGTGAGGGAAATCATTTTCAGAAAGCCACATCTTAGGTATAACAGGAAAGCATATCTGCCTTATCATTTCTTGGCAACTGGCTCCATAGATGGTCATTTCTTAGCAACTGGCTCCATATACTGACTACCTCTAGAGGAGGTGTCCCGAGCCTGCAGGAGCCTTTGGAATTCTGACACAGGGTGGTGCATGCAATTACAAAAGGGCTGCCGCAGGAGGCATGGCCAACTACTAAATGTCAAGGAATTAGGTTATGCATAACTTAAACAGTAGCAATATTTCAGGAAGAGGCTCTTTTAAAAGCCTTTTAAAATTAACACAATAAAACATATTTTAAAAGCCTTTTAAAATTAACATAATGTTTAAAAACATTCTCTTCCATACACACAGAGTAATACAGTGAAGCTTCTGGTGCTGTTGCAGCAGCTGTTGCTGAAGCAACACCTAAAATATCTGCACAGCTAATGAGATCTCTGATGGTGAATCAGCAGCTCTGCTGGGCAAAAGCCCTATCTGGTCCTGCCCACTTTCGAAGAACATTTGGTGGGCACCAGGGAAGGTGCCAATGGGTGCCATGATGCCGCGACATTGGGGGCCTCCTCTAGAGAGAAGGCTGGGTCAGCTGTCAATCCTAACAGAGGAAAGTGGGTAATCAAAAAGGCACAATATACCTACTGGAGCAAAACACACACACTCCAAAATCAACCAGAAAGTTTCAAGTTGACTGCATTTCTGTACTAGTAACACAGCAGAAGAAGCAAAATCATCAGGCTCCCAGACACCCAGTAAATCAGCAGAATGTACCCAAAGCCACTTGACCCAGAGCAGTTACTGAATTTTTGGGTGCCTTTTACAGAAACAGTACAGAAGTCACCCACCAAAGAGTGATCAACACACGGCTTTACCTGTGACTGGCTGGAGTTTAAGGAGGGAACAAGAAGAAGCGCTACTCAGAACTCGGTAGCGGGTCACTGCCACGTGGGCATCTCTATGCTGCCGTACTTTGAATGTTTTCCCATGCTCGTGGGAAATGCGATAGTTTGGAGCAAGTGTCATCTAGGGCGAAGAAAGAGAACTAGATTAATCAGAGTGCAACTGCTCATCACTCAGAAACTGCCCCCCACAGCCAATAACATTTGACAGTTAAGCATGGTCACAGCAGATGGAAAGCAGAGACTGCAGACAAGAGGAAAAGAATGGGGAGTTTATCAGCCGGCATATACAGTCCCATCCTCGCTTCCCTTGCATCAAGTGACTTGGGCGGAACTTGTTAACAGACCTTGTGACTTTGCGCAATGAAACTGATGCCCTCGACTTGACAGTATGGTGCTGTAGGACATCCTGATTGGTGCCCAGTCTCACCTTGGAAACACCTGCTCCCCCATGCGACATCAAGGATAACACCGTCCACCACTGGCACAGTTCTGGTAGTCCAACCAGAAACTGACATGGACTGAAAAGCACTCAAGAGTGATACAGTGTTTTCTGGATCTGGGAAAGCTGCTGCAATATTGACTGTGTTGAGATTCACTGGAGCAACACATGTATGCTGAAGTGCTTAGGAACAAAAGGGATGTATTGGAAATCCTGGCTAAAACGAGCAAGAGGTTGCTGACGGGAACCCAACTCACTTTGAAGTGTGGCTGGTGGCTCTCCACCTCTTTCTCAATAATGGGAATCTCCACCACCCCGTCTGTTTGCTCTGGGGCTCCAACGCAGATCGCCCTGCCAAGATAACAAGACAGTGAAATTCCTTAGTCCGCTGCTGTGATGTCAGGCTCTCCTCGTAAGAGGAACAAGTGATCTAGGATTTCGCTCTCAGTAGGCACTGTGCCATCTTATTTATTTATTATTAATGTGTTTAAGATACTTTTATGCCACCTCTCCACCCAATCAGGTTGTGAACATAAAAACATTTACACAATTAAAAATCAAGTTATAATTGCAACATTTATTTTAAAACACACAAACTCATGGTTGACTGAATACACACATGAAACTGCCTTATACTGAATCAGACCATCAGGCGATCACAGTCAGTATTATCCACTCAGGCTGACGGCAGCTCTCCAGGGTCTCAGGTGGATGTCTTTCACATCACCTACTACCTAGTTCCTTTTAACTGGAGATGCCGGGGAATGAACCTGGGACCTTTCTCATACAAAACAGAATATCGGAGCTTCTCAAGTACAAAACTAGCTGAACTGCGCTAGGATTTCCCATACCAGTATTTCTTTTCCACTTGTCGGGTTCTGAATAGCTCCTGGATTCTATGTGCAGTTTCCTGGTCCCGTGCCAGCACCATCACACCCGTTGTTTCTTTGTCCAGCCGGTGGCAAAGATGCAGGGGTTCGGCTTTCATGCCATCCAACATCTTTGCCAGGATTGGCAGCACATCTGTGATACAGCTTTTAACCCCAGGACCACCTGGGAGGGAAAAACAGAAACTGTCCTTGTCACGTACTTTTCAAAAGAGATTTTGAATCAGTGGCTGCAGGAAACTTGCTCCCCACTACCAGAAAGTGCTCAGGTCCAAGCGCCCGGTGACTGCAGTGATGGGAATACCACTCAACCTATGAGCCGAGGATCAAGGGTCACTGGAAGGTAACTCCCAGCGAGACTATTTGCATAGACAGATCACCCAGCTAGATGTAAATGACTTAACTACTCTCCTCCCTGTTCGGCATTTTCAGACAGTTATAGTAGAACACATGGACTTTATAGAATAATAGTTATGAACAGTACATGTTAATTTACAAAAGGTTCTTGCAGTGTATATTTATTAGTTACTTGACTCTCCTAACACTGCAGCTCGGGTTGCTACAACCTCCAGGTGGGGCCTGGAGATATTCCAGAATTATAGCTGATCACCACATGACAGAAATTGTTTATCAGTGTGTGTGTGTGGGGGGAATGTTTGGGTCCCCCCCCCCCCAGAACATGGATTCTCTTACAGTTCAATTAAGCTCTATGGAGAGATTCCAGACAGGTAGCTATGTAAGTCTGATGCAGCAAAAACAAACAGGAGTCTTGTGGCTATTTAAAGATAAACCCGTTGTGGTTCCAATGCCAAGACAGATAGTTCAGAAAACAATAGTGATATCTGGGGAAATACAACAGGGGGCCTTGTGTTGTGTCTCCCTTTTGTTTCTTGTCTGGTAGGGAAGATATAAAAGGCCAGGAAGTGGCTGTTTCTTCACTGCGGAGACAACAGCAAGCTAAGGTTACAGCATCCAAGGTGATCACATTGACCAATTTTTGTAGCCAAAGAAGAGGAAGAGCTAAAACAAATGAAGCAGGTGTCAGTCAACACCTTCTGAATTATCTGGAAAACCAATCTGGGTGGCATAGAGAACATAGATATGAGGCAGTCATTGCTTAGAGAATGTTTAATCTACATTATGCGATCTCAGTGGTATGAATGGAAGAACTATCTGTGTTGGATTAAACCAACAGGCTGTCTACCCTCTAGCAGTGATCTGCCAGGCACCCTTATATGAAGCTGCCTTATTCAGAGCCAGACTGTTGGTGCAACAAGGTTGCTAACCTGTTAATTGTGATCTGCTTGTAACTTGCCAGCTTCCCAAGAGCAGTCTGTGGTGCTCCTCAAGTACTGATGGAGAACTAGCCAGGTGTGCCCCTGACTCCATCAGCTGAAGGGATAGAGTTCCCCCTATCAGCACTGTACGGTTGATGGAGCCAGGACATACTTCCAGTTCAGCTTCCTGTCAGCAATGCACAGCTAATGGAGTCACCTGTCTCTGGTTTCCCACTGTTGCTTCCTAGCATGTGTGGCTTTGCTTGTTCTGGTTGCTGAAACATGCTGCAACAGTGGTCAAGGAGGAAGCGAGTGCTGACAAGGAGGAGTGCCTGATTTTGTCCCCAGTTTTCAGTTAGGTAAGGGTAGATAATGGTTCTTTTAAAAACACTGAAATAGACGTATTACTGAAGTGCTTTCCCAAGCCCAGTAACCAGAAAGTGTCTGTTCTTATGCATATTTACTGCCCTATAATAAGTTCAGAGGATGGCAGAAGACAGGACGGCCTGGTGTGATGTGGCCCATGGGGTTGCGAAGAGTCAGACTCGACTGTGTGACTGAACAACATAATAACTTAGACCACTGGTCTAGCAGCACCCCAAAAATACTTAAGACCACTGGTCTAGCAGCACCCCAAAAAGTAAGGAGAGAACTAATCTACTCTGATGGGCAACTGCTCTCAAAAAAGGTCTTCCTCATTGCCTACTACCTGATCTTTTTACCTGGAGACACCAGGGATTGATCCCAGGACCTTCAGCATGTGAAGCACTGAGCCACAGGCCCACCCAACAATACAGAGCATCTCCTGTTGTATTTCCCAGTCTGATAACTGGAGCTCTCTGCACAACACCAGCAGCTATATCACTGTGATCCCACTCCACAGAATGAATCTGTATTTAATGTGTAGAACAGCCAGTGCAGATCTCTGAAACAGGCAAGGAGCAGATTCATGCATGAGCTCTTATCAAACCATCAAAGGCCTGATGCTCAAGCAGCACAGAGATAAACATGTGGATGGTTAGGGTGACCCTTCAGAATAACCAGCTTGCTGAAGACAGCTTTGATTGGCACGATAATGGGGAGTGCCTATCTCCCTGGGGAAAGATGGTTTCAATTAAGGGCTGACTATGGCGACCTGCTCTGCCTCTCCCTCCACCTTCCAGGAAACTGTCTGCTGGAAGGGAGTATCTGCCTGGAGAAAGGACTGGTTTTATCAAGGCAGACCTCTCGCTATCCGTTTCCCCTCCCCCCCTACACACTCTGATGGGTAGCAGTTGTGCTGTGTTTTGCAAATTTCATGTTTCTTTGTTACTGTAGGTGTAGGCTCTCCTTCCCCAGCTTCTAGTGAAGAAAAGATATTAAATGCTCAAATAAATAGGGCTACTGAAATAAACATTGTATTTTTCTCACCATGTACAGGAAGGCCATATGGCTTATTAATTACCACAATCTCTTTATTCTGGTACAGGATCCCATTTTTGAGTGCTTTGGCCAACACATTAGGATGAACCCGCTGTAGCTGTTGGCTGAGCTGAACAAGTTCATGCACGCGTCTCAGAAGTGGATCTTTTGGAACCTGTGAATAACCAGTGAGAAAAGGATACATAATTAAATAAATTCTTAGTTACCTTTTCATGATATTTTATATACAAGACAGAAAACAAGCATATACAAGTAAGTGATAACCTAAAAGAACTCTGCTTGAAAACTGTAAACTAGTGAATCCATAAACAGGGTATCAGAACTGCAGCATGGAAACATGGTTTCAGATTATACCATTCTTGCACCAGAGCTGGACAAGTCAATTCACAGTGCAACCCTATGCAGTTCCTTAATTTTAATGAGTTCAGACTTGCACTGTAAAATTTCTAGTTCAACGCTACATGGCAAAAGCATGCCAGTCTCTTCACCTCCCCCCACCATGAAAACACACTGAAAAGCACTATCTGGCACACAACCAATGACTTTGCATATACAGAGGTATATTTGAAGTGCTAATAATCAGAGTTCTATCCTGGCTTTCTTCAAGGACTTCACTGCAACATTCAGGATTCTCTCTTCAGTTTGATCCTTAGAACAAACCTGTGAAGTAGGTTAGGCTGACAGTGTGACTATCCCAATATCACCTAGTAAGCTTCACAGCCGAGTATTTGAACTGCCAACTTCTCAGTCATAGTTTGATAGTACAAACACAACACTGCAATATCCTATTTTTGGACAACTCTCTTTTCCTCCCCTAGGATGTCTTTACCCAAACAAAAGGGAAGATTTAAGTAAAGAAGAAGAGAGGTAGGTGGGGCTGAGAGAACTCTTTCGAGAACTGCTTTGTATGAACTTGTAACTGGCCCAAGGTCACACCAGCAGCTGCATACAGAGGAGTGGGGAATCAAACTCAGTTCTCCTAGATTAGTCCTAACCACTACACCAAACCTGTTCTCACAACAGTTACGAGTGTTGGATGTGCAAGACCCAGGTTCAAATCCCTACTCTACCAGGGAAGTTCATTGGGTGAGCTTCAGCCAGTCATTCAGCCTTCCCTACTTATTTGGGTTGCCAGGTCTGGGTTGGAAAATACCTGGAGACTTTGGAGGTGGATCCAGGAGAGGGCAGGGTTTGGGGAAGGGAGGGGCCTCAGCATGGTACAATGCCATAGAGTCCACCCTTCAAAGCAGCCATTTTCTCCAGGAGAACCTATCTCTGTCAGATGAAGATCAGTTGTAAAAGCAGGAGATCTCCAGGCCCCACCTGGATGGCAGCAAACCTACTACTAACAGTTGTTACGATAAAATGTAGCAACCCCGGTTTACTTTAGTAGTCTCCCAAAAGCAGGATGTAAATAAATACTTCCATGGTGATATAATCTGTAGACCATCAATTGCAGCGCAAATGAATACAGATGAGTTTTAAGAAACATGTAATGGGGAAGAAGTGGAGACAATGACCCTTGGTATAAGAACAGAGACATAAAAACTTTGGCTGTTTGGCGTAGTGGTTAACAGTGTGGACCCTAATCTGGGAGAACCAGGTTTGATTCCTCACTCCTCCAGATGCAGATGCTGGAGTGACCTCGGGTCAGTCACAACTTCCCTCAGAGTTGTTCTCTCACGAGCAGTCCTCAAAATAGCGCTCTCAGCCCCACCTACCTCACAGGGTGTCTGTTGTGGGGAGGGGAAGGGAAAGGTGTTTGTAAGCCGCTCTGAGACACCTTTAGGTAGTGAAGGGCGGGGTATAAATCCAATCTCCTCCTCTTCTTCCCTCTAGCCACAACAGTAGCACTTGCTATGAAATCCTAGGCACAGCTCCACCCTCGTGATTTTATAGGGTACACCTCTGCTTTGGGATTGCAGTTTTACAAACTTTAGAAATCCCATGGATGGAAGCAGCAGTGTTTCTACGGCAGAGTGCATGGTGGGAAATTTAATCCCTATTTAGCTCAATTAGTTGGTTTCTAATGCATGCCGGGAAAATCAGATTCGCTGCCGACCAACAGTCAGTTACTAACAGACTCACTTCCCGAGCTGGCTTTTTTTCCTGCTCCCGCTTCTGTGCACGTATTTTCTCCGCCAGCTGTTCCGCGGTGAGAGGGGCAGCCGCGCTTTGGCTGTGAGAGAAAAGCCGTCCTCCCGGCTTCACCGCAAAGCCCCCGACGCGCCACGCGACGCTCCCCCGAGCCGCCATCTTGTTTAGGGATCTTTGAGGCCGGGAACAAGGAGACGTTGGGAGGGCGTGGCCACGCTAGCTTCCCCTGTGCTCGTTCGCTCGCGGGTTACCAGCGCGGCAAATCAGAAAAGAAGTAGGCGGGCAATTGGAAGAAACGTGGCCAATGAACTCCTCAAAACATGAGGAGGTGGTTTTACAATCAGTTTGTGCTCCTCTAATGAGATTGTGGCACAAGACATAGCGTCGTCTTGTATTGATCGAAGAACGCCGGTTCAAAGCGGTAGGCGGGACAAAAGTATTAAAAGCCAATGATAATGCTAGGGCGGGAGCCTGTACAATAGGAAAGGCGTATTCCCAGAGGGGGCGGAGCTAGCGATAGGCCGTGGCATTTTTCGGTTTAAACGGCCGTTGAGCGGAGAGACAACAGTTGGGGCAGGAGAGCACGGAACGTAAGAGCGGCGTGAGTGAGTGTCGTATGGAGTCGTTTCTTGTCCTTGCTTTGAGCAGCCGTTTCGTGTCAGGGTTCCCTTTCAAGCTCCCCAGTAAGGGATTACCACAAAGGCTTTTATCGCATCTCCTTCCCTCCCTCATTTATAAATTGCTGTTCCATATATTTGTTTATGAAATTGTTTCTCTATGCTGTTTCTTACCCCCGGTGTCTGTTGTCGTCTACACGACAATCTTTACTTTTAATTTCACAACAGCCCTATGAGGTAGGTTAGGCTGAATGAAAATTCATGGCCCAAGGTCCCTCCCACCGGTTTTATAACTGAGTGAGGATTCGAACTCAAGTCTTTGCCCAGACCTTGTCTGATAACCTAAGCATTGGCTGTGAGATCTATAGTGCGGTCTTTTGCAAAAATTACTTCAATTTAAGCTCACTGACAGGGTTACTCTGTATAGTACTATTGTGCTAGTGAATGTATTCAGCTAAATAACAGAAAATGAAACGTCCAGATGCATATTTATTGTTAGTTAGATTATTTATATGCTGCCTGACTCCTTTAAAGAGTTGCTTGAGGTGGTGTAGGGTTAACAGCACAGCTGTAATTATAAAATGACAAAGCTCACAAAATTAAAGCACAATTTACAATGATGAAATCCACAGTCAATATCAGAATAGGAATTTAGTTTTAAGCATTCAACTATCAGAATGTATGCGTTTCTGGAGGGAAAGGCCTAGGGTATAGGTTTGGACAAACCATACTGTTTCTTTGTCTTTTCTCTCTAGTCTGTGTATAGAATTCTGCATCCTATGTAAGCTAAGTGACAGAGAAGAGGTTAAACGGTTCATTAAGGCTCCAAATCCTAAGCTTCTTTACCATGGTTAATGGTGTTTGGTCACATCTGTGCCATCTGCCCTGTTTATTTACTGAATTTTCTCCTGCTTGGTGGTTTATGGCAACTAAATTAAATCAGGCATCAGTTAAAAAATATGATCTTTGAAGTCTTGGATGGGTGCTTCTCTTATCTTCTTCCTCTGGTGTTGGCAGTTCTCATTTATGTCTCATCTTTCTTCCATTACAAGATTCAAGTCCGTATACGTAGGATTTCTGTAAGGTCTGCCATCCAAGCCAGTAAAGTTGTCACATCCCACACCTTCAGACCATACTCTATTGTTCCCCACACACAACAGTTTTAAGTTGTGTAAGCAACTTACAGTCAGAGATTGATCAGTACTGCCTGTATTATGCTTTAAGGCAGCAATAGTCTCGTACAAATAATAGCATGCAGTGTTCCTATATATATTTATTTATTTATACTTTAGATTTCTATACCGCTCCAAACCCCGAAGGGTCTCGGAGCGGTTTACACAGTTCCGAATTATCCCTAACTAAGGCCACATGTTTACAGGGGTCGGGGCTACCTATCGGCACCCAGGTGGCAGGGCTCGCTGTTCTCGGCTTGTTCCCGGGCAGTCTTTTTTTCGGGCGTCGGTGTTCCTATGTTCCTGGTGTCTCCGGTGTCCGGCGGCTTTCTTTCTAGGCGGGCTCCTCTAGTGCATGGTACATGTAGACTTACAGCCCAGCTAACATCCGATCCGGCTCCGCTGCGCCTGCGCACGTCACCACGTCCTCCTATGTCTCCGTCTCTGTCACTCCTATGAACTCAAACTTATTTCTGAGTAAATGTTCATGCTGCTTGTCCCACGAAGTTAGGGCAAAAAAAGCAATGGTTTTATGTTGCAGTATTAGCCACACAGCAGCAAACCTAATTACTCACAAGTAAATTTAGTGGGAGTTAATGCTAAATTAGTTATACATGCATTTGTTGTTCAGTCGCACGGTCGAGTCCGACTCTTCGCAACCCCATGGACCAGATCACGCCAGGCCTTCCTGTCTTCTGCCGTCCTCTGAAGTTTGCTCAACTTCATGTTCGTTGCATCTACGACACTGTCTAACCATCTCATCCTTTGCCGTCCCCGTCTTCTTTGACCTTCAATCTTTCCCAGCATCAGGGTTTTCTCCAGTGAGTGCTCCCTTCTCATTTGGTGGCCAAACTATTTGAGCTTCAGTTTCATTATCTGGCCTTCCAGGGAACAGTCAGGGTTGATTTCTTTTAGGATTGACTGATTTGATCTTCTTGCAGTCCAAGGGACTCTCAAGAGTCTTCTCCAGCACCATAGTTCAAAAGAATCTATTCTTCGGCGCTCGGCCTTCCTTATAGTCCAACTCTCGCAGCCATACATGACTACTGGGAATACCATTGCTTTGACCATGCGGACTTTTGTTGGCAGGGTGATGTCTCTACTTTTTATCATGCTGTTTAGGTTCGCCATCGCTTTCCTCCCAAGGAGCAGGCGTCTTTTAATTTAAAACCCCATGGACAGTATACATGCATGCACATCTGTAAAGGATGCCTAGTGAATACAATAGGAGTATAGGTGGGTAACTACCATAATGCAAAATCTGTTTGGGAACTGAACAAGAGTAATATACTGTAGTGTGCTACACTTGAGCAGAGGGAGAAAGAGGTGATGACTGTGGTACCACAAATAATATGAACTTGAATTTTAAACACAGGCCACACTGTTTTTGTGATGTAATTATTAGAGTGAACGTTTACAAAAGTGAATTTTGAATGTCTATTCTGTGTTTATTCCATTATTAGAATTATTCCATATTAGAATATGCTTGGTTCTATTGCTTCTCTCTTTATCAATAGTGTGTCTATAAGACTTCCGGTCGACGGAACAGCAATGGCGGATGCTCTCCTCACAACGGAGGAGGGTGAATCGCACACCAGCGGCCTGGAGGGGTGCCACCTCAAGTGACACCCCCGTGGAGCCTTTGCGATAGGCTCCAGGCCAGGGGGCTTTTGAGGGGTAGCCTCTTCAATGGCGTAATGCCGGAGAATTGAGGCTCCCCTCCGCCCCGACGGTCCAGTTGCTGAGTGGCCTTCGGGCATAAGCTGGACTGACCGGGACAAGCGCCAGAGATCAAGCGGAATGGCGTAAAACCGAGCATGGTCAGATAAACTGGCCAACAATGAACGTGAGTTCTGAATAAAAACAGATTAGTTTGAAAAGTGATTTCCCCCCCTCGCGATTGGAAACAGATTGCAAAGAGGGACGCCTCTTTTGTGAATGAGCAGTTAAGACACGAAGGGAGAGGGGAGGAAGTAAACCGAAAGTGTTTTGAGAGACTTATCTGAATTGCGAAGTCGTTTGGCGAGTTTTCCGAGTCGTGGGGAAGCGGCAGAAACTGTAAACAAAACGGGAAAGATGGCAGCACAGCAGAGAAAGTTTAAAACGAAGCCGGGCGGGCAGAGTCCGAGATCAGAAGAGGGAGCAGATGTCCTCAAACTCCTGGCGGATATGCTCAAGCCGGTGATGGAACAACTCGATGGTATTAACCAGCAATTGACTGTGATGAATAAAAACTTTGCGGCACAGCAGCTTCAGCTGAACGAGACGGAGAAAAAAGTGGAGCAGGCAAACGAGAAAATTAAAGAGATTGACACCACAAGTAAGAAGTTGAAGAAAAGGATGGGAGAGGTGGAAATGAAGCAGAATTGCCAAGAGAATCGAGTCTTGCAGCTTCAGATGGAAAAAGCTAACATGATTCTCAGGTTTCAGGGGGTTCCTGAAACGGATCGGGAAGACTTTAAGAGGGTGCTCAGTGAGATCATCGCTCCAGTAGTAGGTTTAACAGCGGATGAACTGGTAAACGAAATGGAGACAGCCTATAGGGCTATATTAAAAAAATAGCCTACCTGGAGAAATAGTGGTCAAGTTTTCAAGAAGACAAACCAGAGATGCCATTTTAAAGCAACATCAGCAACTCCACTGAAAATGGGAAATGTAACCATTAAAATTTTAAAGGACATTCCATTTGAAATTAGACAAAAGAGGAAAAATTACAAGGAATTAATTTATTTTCTTCAAACGAATGGAATATCGTACAGATGGGTGGTTCCGGAAGATCTTTAAGATCAACGATAGAAGGGAGAAAATAGACTCCACTTTTAAAGCTAAAGAATTTTTGAAATGTCTGCTGGGGACAGATGATGAGTCTAAAGAGGGAGAATCGAAGTCGAGTGACTCTGCTACCTCGGGAACGGAAGAGGATTCTGCGGCAGAAAAGGGTGCAGGACCTGCCAGAGTGGTATACGATTTTAGAGACAGAAAGCCGAAGTAAAGGCAGAAGGACTTGGAAAATGGCCTTTTGAAGCAAAGAATAAGAAGATGATCAGAGACTTCTCTCATAACAACTAACAAAATAACATACAAGAAGCGAATTGTTATAAGCAAGAACTCAACAAGTATATTGTGATAATAAAACTAATGGTACTAACATATTTACTAACAGTGAAAAGATCTCCTTCTCTTGGGGTTTTAGTCTAGTGTGGTTTGCTTTTCTTTATCCCTAGTTGTAGTCCCTCCCCTATATTTCTTTGTAGTTTGTAGTATATGCAAAATAAAAAATATCCCTACGGGGATTTAAAAAAACGAAAAGAAAATAGTGTGTCTATAATAGAAAACTACTTACTTTCCTTTTTCTTCCCTAGCATAGCCTAAGCAGTGGATTTAGTTAATCTTGGATTTGTTCTCTGCAGTCTTTTTGTACCCAACATCTTTTATTGTTTACTAGGCAATTGGTTAAAACATCAATACCATTTGTTTATTTTTCTACTAGCACATCTTGAAAGAAACCGCAGAGCCAGTATGGTGGTTTCCCAATCTCTCTTTAAATACCTCGAAGTCAACATAAAAAGTTTATTTCTCAAAGTAGCAAAACACTGACATCTCTTAGTCTTGGAGGAGTATCTCCACAAATGAAGAGTGTTGTATCAATACATGCATAGATATGTATAAAGAGGTAGTCCCAGAAATAGAAACATCAGTCTGCACTCACACAAATCCTCTTTGCAGCTTTTTCTAAAACTTCATGGTCCTTCTCTCCAATATCATGGAAACTGCTCTTAATTTTCACCTGTTCATTTGCTTCTGTTTCAGTGTGCTTTATTTTCTTGCAGTGTGGAAGTTCAATGCGTCCTCGACGCACAAAGTGACTGATGCGAGACTCCAAACCTTCACATTTGGGGCGATCCATTAACGGTTTGTAGTTGCGGGCTTTTACTCCCTCGATCAAAGCACTGATTTGGTTGTGAACTGGAGGTTTTATTTCTTTCCAAGGAATTGTAGTGTCATTGCTTAAACCTGTAAATATATAGAAGATGGTGCTCGTAACACTGTCAGAGGAATACCTAGAGCACTATGGATAACCTTCCCCTGGTTCCTCTGCCCCTTTTGGATTGCTGTAAGCACAAGTGTGGAATAATGAAAGGGGCATGCTGGTATCATCCACTGACCCAGATACAATAAATGCATAGAATCCTACCTGTGGGTATTCCAACAAAATCTAGTCCCTGTAACATGCTGTGCAGCATATGAGATTTAACAGCATGGTTAGCCCATAGCTGCTGTAAATGAGTAACGTTAAACTCCTGGACTTCACGGTCATAGATCCATTGGAGGTTTTCAAACTCGCAGTCATAGAGGACCAGAGGAAATTCCACTGCCATGCTGCAAAAACAAAAAAAATTTTTTTTTGAAATGAAAACTAAAAAGTAGACTTGATATTTCAGTGCAGCAGTTAAGCATGTGTGGAAGCTGGCATCCATGTGAAGATCCCTTGCTGCGCTTAGAATCGTATACAACACTTGATGTGAATGCAGTTGAACAACTGCATCATAATGCTGATCTGGACCCCACTAAATGATCTGGATATTCTGTTGATGCACACAGGGAGAGGCACTTTTATTTGAGACCACTGGTCTTGTGCTACACGTTGCATGAACACAGAGGTGGATCAGAGGAACAGTCTTTAGGAGCCCTCACCAGTTAATTATTTGCAAAAAGCAAAATAAACAAATGGTAATTCATAATAGTTTGGACCTACACATTCTCGTTTCCATAAAAAGATGCTAATTTTAGGAAAACTGGTTTTCAGATACAGTATACTGTTTTGGTAAAACCAGATGTTTGTGAACTGTCAAAACAGAATTGGAAGTATGCAGGCCTCATTTCGAGCCGGAGCAATCCTCCGGCAGAGAGGCCAGGGGGTGGGGACATGTAGCAAGCCCTGCCCCCTGCTCCCAGCAGCCCTCCCCTCAGTCAGCCAGGGAAGACAAGGAAGAAGCAAGGTAAGTTATGTATCTCACCCCCTGCCTTTCCAGGCCCTGTAAAGGCCTCCCCAACCCCCCAGCATTGTCTCTTCAGGCCCCTGTGGGCCCGAGAGAGCCCTTCCCAACCCCCCCAGTGTTGTCTCTCCAGGCCCGTGCAGCTGCACGGGGCCCCCAGTGCCACTCCTCCAGAGTGCCTACAGAGCCCCCCCCCTCGCCTGCCTTTCCTGGCCTGCTTGCCTTGGTGAACGGCCCAGGAAAGGCCTACAGAGCGGGGGCCCCCCACCTTTCCCAGCACCTGGCTGGTGCAGGGTGGTGTCAGGGGCTTGATCGGGGTGGGTGGGTAGCGGGGGCTTGGTGGTGGGGAGCCTCTCCCCCATCTCTTTGCCCTCCCTTTCTTTCTTTCTTTCCTTCCTTCCTTCCTTCCTAGATCGGTGCATTTCTCCCCCCATAGCTAGCAATCCAAAACAGTCCTGTGGCACCTTTAAGCCCAAGGCTTGTTCAGGTAGACCGATAGCAAGTCAAAAGAGTCCAGTGGCACCTTTAAGACCAAGGTTTATTCAGGTACGAGCTCTCCCACCTTCTGACATACTTTCGTTGATGGCAGGGGTGTGGCATATGCAAATAAGTTATGCTAATGAGCTCCTGCACCTCTTTTTCTAGAAATGACCCCTGGAAGTATGTGACGTTGGGTATCCTTGATCTTAAACTACAAACTCTAAATGTGATGGGAGAAGGAGCATTCTTTTAAGTGCCAAAGGCCACAGGAAATTATTTTCCCCTAAACTATATTAGCCTGACTGACATCAGACTAATCAGATGCAATATGAATAATCATGAATCCATATAGTTTTAGATTCCAATAAATCAAGGCAGTACTACCTTACCTTTGGGGCCAAGTGTGCTACAGACAGAATTTGTGTGGAAGTCCAATTCTGGTGTGTATTTACTGTTTGTATTTCTACAGGTCTCCTCTCCGCATAATTTGTTTGTCCCCAGTTCAAAACACTTGAGAGCACACTAGAGTTCAGCAATGGACAAGTGCCACTTGTGCCACCTAGACTAAGTCTGACTCCTCTCCACACACCCCAATTTTCACATGTTAATTTAACAGAGAATGCAGAATCTTGAGACATTCTAAGGCAATCTATTGCACAAGCTTGTAAAGACAAGGCTGTCTCCTCGGATGTGCAATAATGTCAGTCCTTAAGGTACTGTGGGACAGAAGGAAAGACCCCTAGCTAATGGAGATGGTGGAAAGTGCAGCCAACTTATGGTGACTCCATAGGGTTTTCAAGACAAGGGATGTTCAGAGGTGGTTTGCCATTGTCTGCCTCTGTGTGGCAACCCTGGACTTCCTTGGTGGTCTCCCATCCAAAGCACTAACCAGGGCTAGCCCTACTTAACTTCTGAGATCAGGCTAGCCTGGGCCATCCAGGTCAGGAGGTAATAGTAGAATATATGCATTGCTACAAAAGCACCCAGGTTCAATGTCCAGTTAAAGAGATTTCAGAGAACAGGGCTGGGAAACACCCACACTGGGCTACATAAACCCATAGCCAACACAATAAGACCACTATGACTGCAGTATGGTGTAGTGGTTAAGTGTGCGGACTCTAATCTGGGAGAACCGGGTTTGATTCCCCACTCCTCCACTTGCAGCTGCTGGATGACCTTGGGCAAGCCGTAGTTCTGATAAGAGCTGTTCTGGAAAAAGAGCCGTTTCTGTCAGAGCTGTCTCAGCACCACCTACCTCGCAGGCAGTGTTCCCTCTAAGCTGAGTTAGTGTGAGCTAGCTCACAGTTTTTAGCCTCCGGCTCACACATTTTTGCCTTATTTCAGGAAGGAGGGCTCCAGAGCAAACTAATTTATGCAGCAGCCAAATCACTCACTCACAACTTTAACGCCAGTAGCTCACAAAGTAGAATGTTTGCTCACAAGACTCCACAGCTTAGAGGGAACATTGCTCACAGGGTGTCTGTTGTGGGGAGGGGAAGGGAAAGGAGTTTGTAAGATGCTCTGAGATTCCTTTGGGTAGTGAAGGGCGGGGTATAAATCCAATCTCTTCTCTTCTTAATTTTTGCTGTAACAGATTAACATGAGTACGCTTAAGGTTTTTTTAGCCAAGTATTACCTGTATTGTGGTTTTCTAGGATTGTTCTCTATATCCAGTAACTCGTCAATGATTTCTGGCTTCTCCATCCTTTGTCCAATCAGGAAGAGGATAGCCATCATACAACGGACTTGATGATAGAGGAACGCCTGGCCTGTCACTTCAAACTGGTACATTCGGAAAGGGTCTTGTTGCTTGGTTATCTCTCTATCCACAGGCTGCACCTCTGCATTGAGAATTGTTCTTTGAAAATTGGTCACACCATTAGCTACATCCATTTTGCATAGATTACGAAAGTCGTGAGTTCCCACAAATCTCTGTGCTGCAGTATTCATGAGAGCTACATCCAAGTCACCATGAGGGAAAAAGTAGCGATATGTCCTCTTCAGGCAATTGAATCTCGCACTGAAGTTGGAATCTACTGGGGCCCAGGCCAGTACTCGTATGTCAGGAGGGAGCACCCGATTTAAAATATGGGTGTAGCGGATCTCCTCAGATGTACTGCTAGCTTTGTCTTTTGTGGTAATCCCAGGTTCATCTACTGTCTTCTCTGAAAAGTTTGAGCGGAGATCCAGGGAGATCACCTGAAGCATTGGAGAGAAGTATTATATTCTACAGTTACATGTGTAAAACAAGAACAAATAAATTGGTACACATAATAATTTTTAGAAATTCCACTTTGAAACTCTATTTGGAAGCTGATGATAGAATGTAACTTGCGACCCTTCTCATGATGTCCTGATAAATTCATCCCCTTTAACTCAACAAAAATACCAGTTTTTAATAAGTTACAATACAGTTCCTCAAACAGATACTGACAGCAAATACCTTTGGCTCCTTATTAAATTACTTCTGGGTACTAAGGAAGTGTTTATCCAGTTAAGTTTCCTGAGCTGCCTGCATGCGGTGGAAAACAAGGGTGTCAGTGGGTTAGGTTGGCTACATTGGAAGTTTCCACTGATTCCCCCATCCCATAACAGGACTTCCTCACATTGATCCTCAGGGTCCCCAATCCTCCAGCAACAGAATTTTGTGGAGGTTGGTAGATTGCACTAGGAGGGGGAGAGCCAGGAAACTTTCTGTTCTGCTGATGAAAATTTCATCTGGAACTAACCCAACATAACAATAGTAATCCTGAAATTAAAATTCTAAATGTCTCTTAATTATCAGTTGATTAGCAAAATATGACAAAGGTTTTTGGTCAATAAAGGTACAAGTTACTGTAGAAAAAGGGTTTTGGTCAATAAAGGTACAAGTTACTGTGCTGCCTTAATGCCTTACAAATGTGTTTTATTTAGTATTTATTTCTTGGAACTAAACACATAACTTTTTTAATCCCTATATACTACTAGCTCAAGTCTGTTGAACAACAGAGACCCAAGTGTCGATATATTTAAATTTCAATCTTTTAATTTAACGTTGACTGTAACTTTGATAATGCAATACAAATGCTTGCTGTTAGTCAATCCACTCCCTGCTCATAGATCTAATCAGAGAACAGGAGAGGATGCATTAAGAAAGGAGGGAAAAATGAAAGAAGAGAGTGGCCGTCTTAAACTTCACACCCAAGCCAACAATCCCACATAGAGGTCTAACAAAGGTAGTGCTTACCTGTCCAAAGGCACTGACTCCTTTGTCTGTGCGCCCACAGCGATGATAATTAGAAGATTGCCTGCTCTCCACCAGCCGGGTTTTGATTAGAGACTCAAACAGTTTCTCTTCAATAGTATTGGTGGTGTTCTCCTGGCTAGCAAAGCCCTGGTATTCCCAGCCCAGGTAGGCTATCTTCAGAGCTACATGTCTCCGGCCAGAAGCACTAAAATCAAATGGCCGCTGCTGGCGCTTCTTAGTTTTTCCAGCTGTTGGAGGGGCTCTTCCTGTGCCTGTGGTCTCCGTCCTCTCTAGGAGTTTTTCTTGCAAACTTTGCACAGTATCTTCCAGCTCCTGAACCCTCTTCAGCAGCTTCTCAGTTTCTGTACCATTTTCCTCCATAGTCCTATAAAAACTATGACATGAGAACTTGGTAGCAGTTGGTCTAGAGTAGTAACCACACAATTATTCAAGCTTTGTATTTGTTGCTAGACTAGGGCTCCGGTCACACAGCAAAGTTGCCACGGGAGAAGCACGGATGGTGGGCGGATTATCCGGGCACGATCACACCCCAACATCTGGGAAATGGAGCACACCCGTGGCTTACCGCCGAAAATGCGTGTTAAAAAACTAGTACCTCCAAAGTACTAGTAAACGTTTGCCACGGGCTGCCTCCAGACTCCCATGGTGTGATCGCGCCGGCGCGTGGCATGTCCCTCGTTTACCTGCCGGCACCGAGGGAAGGACCCGTGGTGTGCCAGTTTGATTGGGTAATTGCAGATCAAACTGCGCCGGGGCAATTAGCCCCCCCCCCCCCGGCACGATATCCAGCCCGTGTGATCGGGGCATATATTCAGTTTTCAAAAACTTGATTTTCTTTCTGCTCTCCTATACAGGCATCATGTTCATGTTTAATGACATCTTTCTAGTACTGAAAAAGAAGTCTGTGTTTTCTTGTGTTTGCTAACAAATCTTTTAAAATGTGTTTTTAAAATGAGCCTTTTAAAACATGTATTTGAAAGAGTTGGGAATAATATCAGCATATTACTTGTAGTAAAGAGGCAGCTATAGCTTTTACCAGATAATTTTTTCTCCCTGGTTTTGCAGGTTCACACTCCAAATGGAGGTACTTACATTGCAAAATTCTCAAGCTTAAGTGTACTAAAGTTTCAAACATTGACTTCTAGAATGTCTTCCATATCAAGTAGGCTGCTAAGAAACAGTATTCTAGGATATGTTCCTAGGATGAATTCCTGGTGTGAGTATATTTGATATGGGATAGTCGCTGGGCTTGGTGGTCTTTGCTGTTGCTCTCTAAACTGAGAGTGCATCCAAAGCACATCCCTGGAAATGTGTGGCAGCAATGAATGGGGGAAGAACATGGCAGACAAGCAGTTTTTCAGAGAAGCTCATTTTCTGCTAATGATCATTTTCTTGAACTTCCAGTATGTTTTCAAGAAATCTCAGGGCTGCCTGGAATCAGAGTCTAAAAAGCACCTGCATAGTAATTTACTGTAAAAGACTGACTATATTCTAAGTATTGTAAAAGGGAACAGAATCTAGACTTTACTGTTTTAATTATAAGCTGCCTTCAGAAGGCCTTTGGTGAGGCAGCACAAATTCTAAACTGACATAAGGCAAGGCAAGTTCTTGCCAGTGATGAGCAAATGATTCTCTCTCTCAGTAATTTTTGTTTAATAAAATTTGGTAGGTGTAACAGATCTCAGATTTGGATACTGTGTGAGTATTGGCATCTCTCTTGCAGAATCAGTAACGACACCTGTCAAGGAGAAGTAATGGATGCGCTGATGGGGCCAGATCAGTACCGATGGAATAATATGAACTATGAAGATCGACTCAAAGCAGCTATGGCCTTTATCCGCCTTTGTGTGGAACACGGAGGGGGAGACAGCCCAAGACAAGGCCGTGTTCCACCTCAGCTTGATCCATACACAAAAGCTTCTGTGACCTCTGTGACCAGACCCATGCTTCCTGTGATGATCAAACATCCTCAGACAGAACCCACTTTGCTACCAGCGGAGCCCAGTATTCCTAGGAAACCTGTGATGAAAAGGAAGGTTCTGAGGCGAAGACCCAATGGAGAAATACAGGTGACAGATGAATCAGTCACCAGCGAACCTGAATCTACCAGTATAAGTGACCCTGAGTATGGGGATCTGAGTCAGAGAACATGCAGTCCTCATCAGGAAGATGAAGAGTCTGAGGAAGAATGTGAGCCAAAGAGTTCCCCTGAATCAGAGGCTGCTTATTCCTGGAGATCTTCGGAAGAGAGCCAGAGTCATGGCTCCCAAAGAGAGAGCCAGTGCCAAAGCAGTCCATCATCCGTGCAGGACCTGATCATCACTGGTCACCCAAAGTCCTTCATATTACCAAGATTAGACCAAATAAGCCAAAACAGAATGAAGACTGACCGGGTAGCCCGTTACTTGGAGCATAAGCACGACTGGGAGTCGCTACGGCTACCAGGGGAAGATTCCAGGAAAAATGTGCGGTGGAGCATCCGGGAACAGATGCTGTATAAGACGGAATTTCCTCCTAGGTCTCAGCACGTTTATATACCCAACAATTACCTGGTGCCTACTGAGAAGAAGAGATCTGCCCTGCGATGGGGAATACGCTGTGACCTGGCAAACGGGGTCGTGCCTAGAAATTCTTACTCGTCCTAGAAATGCTGAGTCGTTACAGCTGTATTTACAGCCGTGTGCATTGCTTAGCATCACCTAAGTGTTCCTATTTTGTTTCCTTTGAAGTGTAAATCCTGCTTATTTTAAAATTGCTTTGGCTTTCCAAATTGATCCGTGCTGGCACAGAAGAATTTTTCCCTATTAGTGCTACTTAAATGGTTGCTGTGAAAAGGATCCCTTACATACAAATAGTGACCCCTAAAAATAAGATAAATTTCAGCCTACTGGAATGTGTGTCAAGGAGAACAACTTTTATTGAAATATCTTTTGTACCCAGTGTGAAGTCACTTTTTAAAATCCTCTAACTTCTTGATACTAGTTATTAAAAATGTGTGGAATAAAAGTATTTGTTTCTTTGTTAGCAAGCTTGAATTTTCTGACATCTAGTAATTCTAAAAGAGCTGAATAAATCCTCAAGAATGAGATACAAGTAACTGTTTCAGTGGAACTGATGTAATACTAAACATGTAGAAGCAAATGTAGATAAAACCCTGAAGTGAAAATTCCAAAGACGCAGGGGGAGGGCAGAGAAAGGGAATGGCACTCTATCCTTAAGTAGGTGGCAGGGAGTTTACACTGTTTTCTTTTTTAAAACTTATAGGTTGGTGTATTAAGATTGCTTGATTTGAATTTAAATTTTGCACAATAGAAGCTGCTTGCTTAAGCATATACCCCATAGCTAAGTAAATAATCCACAAAATAATCATCAATAATCCTAGATCTAGTTTGTGACTCCTGCAAGAATTCACTCAAAGTATATAAGTCTTTTCTCCAAAGTAAAAATGTGGCTCTCTACATATAAAATGGTAGTCTAGTGATAGCAAAATGAAAATATATATGAAAATATTGTATGTTATCTAAGTTACAAAAACGGGTGTGTTTTGGCTCAGTTGTTTCCTGCTCAGAGGAAGTACTTCTGTTAGGAATGCACTGAAGTATGGCTTGCATACAGAAGAATGCATAGCACAATTATGCAAAACTAGACACTTCTATGCAACTTAATTAGCAAATCATTGTTATAGGAGTGAACTTGCTCTAAACTGGAAATAATGGAACAAAAAATGCCTGCCCTTGTCAAAAATAGCACATAAAGAACCCAGTTTTATTTTGTCTCTTTGCAGTTTTATTTTCTGTCTCTTTGCACTCCCCATCAAAATGGCAAATTTGAGCACTATGCTAGATTAAAAACAGATCCTGGAAGTTTCTGATATAAATCTTTCTTTGGGTATGAACTTGCTGATGGGTCTTAGGATTGTTGTAAGAATTTGAGCCCTTTAAAAAAATGTTGTCATACTACCCCCCCTCCCTTTTTTTGTTGGACAAGAGAGGCTTTTCCTCTCTTTAAAGTCTTGCTGTACTGGAAGCTGCAAGAGAAGAGACCTAAGGCTAGGCTTAGCTGTTTGAATATCTTACAAGCTTTTGAAATAATTCACCAAAGTCCATTTAAAGAGTCTAGGAGGGTTACAATGATTTTTATTTAAAATATGCAATGAAATAAGGCCAGCAATTAAAACTAGACCACTGTAAGACTTCCACCTGTTTATATGAACTGGTTAACCTGTTTGGGCCATTCTACCACATGGAAGCCACTGCTAAGAAAGTTCTGCTGCGTGCAGATGGTGATCTAATCTACCAGTACTCTTAACTGCTCCCTAGTCTGATGGACAGAGCTGCCAATCATCAGTATGGGACAGGTGTTCCTGTACATCTGTGGGTTCTAGGCCATTAAGGGCTTTGTAGGTTTTAACCAGCACTTTGAGTTGGACCCAGATACAAATAGGCAGCCAAACAGTAACACTGCTGTAATGTTTGAATTGCAAGTAACTCCAAATAGCAAATTAGCTGCATCATTTTGCAGAAGCTGGAATTCATCTCCAAGGCCAGCCTCATGTACACTGCTCCACATTAGTCCAGCTTCAAGGTTATTGCACAGTTCTGCCCTGCCAGATCAGCCAACTAGAAGGCCAGTTTCCATGCTAAAGGCATGGCAAAATGTGGCTTTAGTTGTATTAACCTGTTTCTATTAGAGCAGCCTGATCTAAAAACACTTCTGGTCTCCTAATAGTAACCCAAAGATCATTGTATATCAGCAAAAATGGGGAGCACTATACCCCCCAAGACACCAGCCTTACTAGCATCACCTCCCTGTCTTTTCTGGATTCCATTTGTTGTCCCTCAACCTCTTGAACGCAGCTAACATTGGCTCAGAACAGAAACGAGTTACTTTAAAACAAACTAAACCAAAACCTATGGTATTTTTAATTGAAGACTTAAGTGAGGAGGGGGAAATCTTGCGATGGTTTAATAAACCAAGCGCACTCCGTACCTTACCCATGCAGGCTTAACAACCACTGAGACATCAGACCAACAATGTACTGATGGGAGGGTCGTTTCAGAGAATCTAACAGCGTGATCCTATACAAGTTTGCTCAGAAGTTTTATTCCACGGATGGTCAATGGGACTTCTAGAACTGCAGCGTGATCTTTACTTAGATGTAAAGTTCAGCGATGTCAATGCGAAACTTCTAGAACTGCAGCCTGATCTTATGTACCTTTACTTAGATGTAAAGTTCAGCGATGTCAATGCGATTTACTCCCAAATAAGTTTGGGCGGAGGAAAATACTTGCGCGTAAATTATGCATGGGAACGGGCTGCTAAAGTACTGGGGGCTGATTTGCCCTTCCATGGAAGAATGTCGCGACTTAAAGCAAGCCGTCCACAGATTCCGTGCTCTCCTGTGGGAGTGGGGCCTTAAGTGGAGGGAATCCATTTGGCTGCCTAGAAGGAAAAAACCAGCCTCCCCAGCTCTCCCTATCAAACACGAGAAGGTCTCTCCTACCTCTGCAACAGCCTCCGTGCAGCGTTTCTTAGAAAAGGTGCCGATCGCATGCACGACTATCTGCCTCTGACTTCCTTGTAGGAAATGACATAACAGCTCCTCTTGACATAGCACAAAAAGGGTTCTGGGAAATGTAGTCCTATATTAAAATGCTCAGGCTAACACCCCCACCCCACCCAGTTCAACGAATCTCTTGAGTATGTTTGCTGAAACAGACTGAGACGGCTAACCCTCCGGAATTAGAAGCCAAGCGTGAAGATGATGCTGTGTCCCCTGCATCAGCGAATCAAGAGGCACGGAGGTTCCAGTCCGCTATCCTCCAGGATTTTTTTCAATTCTGTTTTAAAGCTCTATAAAATAATATAAACTCGTCGTGAGCTTGTAAAATGAGATGTTAAAAAAAAGAAATGTGACTTTTGAATGAGTACTGGTTAATATGAAGCTACTGTACACAGTCAGGCCACAGGTCTATCTAGCCTACTCTGACCTGCACTGGTAGCCACAGAGGAACACGATATATTAAAAGGCACAATATAAAACGCTAATAAAGCACCATATTATAAACAAATAATCTTCATTTTTTCATTCAAACTGTTATTGGTTCAAACTTTCCCCCTATCTCCTGAGTTTCTGTCACTTGGAATCACACGTTATTTAGATTGCTTTGGGGGGTTTGCTTTTGGCAGAAAGAATGTATATACTTAGAGAACTCTATTTGTTTACAGTGTGGTGCTTTATTAACATTTTGTAGTTTGGCTATTCTGACTGGCAATGGCTCCCCAAGGTCTCAAGGCATAGATTAGAAACTAACCCACCACGTTCAGTGAAAGGGGTTCCCTTAGGAGAGGACAGGGGAAGAGGACAGTGGAAACAGTGGAACAAAAAGACCATGAAATGGGAAAAATAAAGTTTGTGATATCTCTGTGCAAAGTTCAGCTATATACAGGATGAGCCCAGGAACCATTCGTGATACCAGGAGAGCAAAGTTTCAGTCCAGCGGCACCTTTAAGACCAACGAAGTTTTATTCAAGGTATAAGCTTTCGTGTGCATGCACACTTCAGATATCTCTTCTGGTATCTGAATAATTGTGCATGCACATAAAAGCTTATACCTTGAATAAACGTTTGTTGGTCTTTAAAGGTGCCACTGGACCCCAACTTTATTCTGATGCTTGAGACCAACACTCTACCCACCTGAATCTTTGATCACAGCAGTAACTGATATTGTGCTTCTATCAGTGCTGCCGTCCCTATCGAAGACTAGTGCAATTCTAAATTTTGGAATTGGGGGGGGGGGTTTGCCTGGAGGTTGGCAACCCTATTTCACATGGTTTTTCCCCAGAATGCATGCTGTTAAGAAGTGTCTCTCCCCCCCCCTTCTTCCCCACGACATCGTGGTGATTTTAAAGCTGGGATGGCTGCCACGTGGGCAGGAGAATGTAGATTTATGCCTAGTTTCCCGAGCCTTCCTGGGCGATCTCTGAACTAGACAGACCGCGGCTGAGATCCGGCAGGGCTCTTATGGTCTCGATTTTTTTCGTTGCTACGCTGACCAAAGCCAGACCAATGGACATTAATTATCGCACCCATTCCCCCAGAATGCATGCTGTTAAGAAGTGTCTCTCCCCCCCCCTTCTTCCCCACGACATCGTGGTGATTTTAAAGCTGGGATGGCTGCCACGTGGGCAGGAGAATGTAGATTTATGCCTAGTTTCCCGAGCCTTCCTGGGCAATCTCTGAAATAGACAGACCGCGGCCGAGATCTAGCAGGGCTCTTATGGTCTTGATTTTTTCCCCTTGCTATGCTGACCAAAGCCAGACCCAATGGACATTAATTATCGCACCCATTCCAGAGGGGCCGCCGTGTCAGCCTGTCGTAGCAAAAGCAAGCAGGAATCCTTAAGACCAGACCAACGCGCTTTTTTATTACACCCGCAGAAGCTCTCATGGACGTCCCCGGCAGTCCGCCACAAGAGCCGCCAGGAGCGACGGTTCAGCTTCCAAGGTCTTGCAAAAAGCTGTTCTGTCTTGCAAAAGGCCACGCCGGCCTCTCCGTCTCCACGGCAACCGCGCCCCCAAGGAGCGGGATGTGAATATTCACATCGAGGCCACGCCCCCTCTGCCTCTTGCCAACTGCGCGCTTGAGGCGCGAGGCTTCGGGCTCTGCGTGGCCTCGTGCTCGGTCGAGGCGGCTCGCGTGGGCCGCGTCCATTGGTGGCTCGCGGAGGAGCTGGGCGAGATGTGGCCGGGGAATAGACGTTTGGCGAAGGGGCTGGTCGGGGTCCCGCCTAGGGAGTCCCAGGGCGTGCCTCGGAGTGTAAGGGAGGGGGACGCCTCCAGTGGGGAGGGGCACACGAGCGTCCGTCTCCTTCGGGCCTCCTTTCTCTACCTTTCCCTCTCCCTGAGTCGTTTCCCTCCTCCTTCCTTCCTACGCAAAGTGCTTAATTTCTGCAACCAAAACGCCGCCTCAAATTTACGCGGAGGTTTCACGTGTGGCCTAAGTTAAAAGCGCTTCGTTTGATTTCAGCCCCGCCCCCAACGGTTGGGCTCCTTGGGGCAGTGAAGAAGAAATGAAGCTGCTTCCCCCCCCCTTTCCCCCCAGATCTTCTAATATCTCCCTATATCCCTTTTCTCTGTTTCGTGCATGTAGCCTAGAATATGTTGACCTTGTTTCCTGTCTCTTACTCTTAAATTATGTGATTTTTTTAAAAAGCCTTTTCTAATTTTTACTTCAATTTTTTTCTAACATTCATCCTCTTTACCTCTGAACCAACGGTGATACACTTTCTGTGATACACTATATAATATGGTAGATTCAGGTGGGGAGCCGTGTTGGTTCGAAGCAGTAGAACAAAGTTTGAGTCCAGTGGCACCTTTAAGACCAACAAAGTTTTATTCAAGGCATGAGCTTTGGTGTGCACATACATTGAAGCTAATACATTGAATACAACTTTGTTGGTCTTAAAGGTGCCACTGGACTCAATTTGTTCTATATAATATGGTGTTTCATATAGTAAAATACAGCAGTAGTTTTATAATACTGTGGTATATGTTTATGATATCCTGCTAATGCAATATGTTGTGTCATACGCTATTACAATGTAAGTAATGTGGTATATAAAATGGGTGCTATGGTACTGCAGTCCTGGTTTGCTGGAGTGATTAGAAAGTTGTCCATCTGGTGACTTACCATCCAACGGTGTAGTATCTGGCAGGACATCATTTTTTCTTTACAGCTTTGCTAATGTCTGCTTTGTAAATTACAGCATTGGAGCAATATATTTGTCTGACTCACAATAGGGGTAAAGATTTGGTGCATCTTCTCAGGAATGTGCACCGTGAAGTGAAAACTTTCCAGATGATTTTGTAGGATTTGGCAACTGCCAGTTATGATCACATCAGACTGTTCATGCGGTTAGGTTTTATCTACTACGAGAAGCTGCTCTCTGGAAAAAGAGTAAAACAAGTATAAGATATTTGTATTAGAGGAATACGAGTTGGGGGAAGTGTAAGGAATCATGAGAGGGGAATAATGTCCTCACTGTCTCAGTCTCCTGAGTTTGGGATACTTCCTCTTCATCTTGCTCTAAATCTCAGCATTGTAGCATACTTGCCTTCTAGAGCTAGTTACTGAGTTTTAGAGCTAGGTGAGGGAGCCAGTGTAGTGTAGTAGTTAATAGTAGATTTGGGAGAACTGGGTTCAAATTCCCACTCTAGTACAAAGCTCACAGGTTACCTTGGACCTCTGTTTTTGTCTCTCTCTCATAGGGTTGTTGTGAGGATAAATGGTGCAACAGGGGACTATGGACTGTGACTTCCTTGAAGAAAAGGGGGGATAAAAACATGCACTAGATCAGTGATGCTTAATGGGGTCTGTACGCACACAGACAGTGACCTACATACCTTGGGGGGGCTTTCAGCACTCTTTGGGACTTTAGGCATCCCCTGCCGCTCGCAGTGGCTTCTGACAACCAGTGGAGCTCTCACATCTCTGGAGGATATGGTTGCCAACCTCCAAATGGAGACTGGAGATCTCTCAGAATTGCAACTGATCTCCAAACTACATAAATGATTTATTTATCTAAAACATTTATTTCACTTCTCCTGGAGGAAATGGCTGCTTTGGCAGGTGGACTGCATGGCATTATATCTTGCCAAGGTCCTTCCCCTCTCTAAACCCCACTCTCCCAGGTCCCACCCTCAAATCCCAGGAATTTCCGAACCCAGAGTTGGCAACCCTACCTGAAGATAAAGTCTCAGACTTCTCCCCCGTGCCACTAAAAAGTGGCACACAGCAAAACCTAACACTAAAGAGCTGGCGGGTGGCCACGAGGCACAAAGGTCCCATTTGAATGTGAACCTCAGATTATATAGTAGTAAAATTGACTTGTCTTCTGTGCTGTTTTCCTTTCCACATTTTTTGTGCTTGTGATGTGGGAGGCATTCAGTGATAATGTCTTGTACTGGGTGGGTCTTAGTGGTTAACAACCACTATATTGTTTTTTTTTTGTTTTTTTCTTCTTTGTTAGCTGCCTCCAAGTGTCTGAAGAGGTGGCCTATAATATATAGATAAAACCGATTCCTGAGCTTAGTGCTATAGTGCAGGAGATGGGAATTTAGCTGCCCTTCTTTCTACTGTGTGGGATTGTTGAGAAGGATGTGTGCTTCATATTTTCCAGCTGCTGTTAACTTTTAGTCTGAGCCTCTGTTTTCCCTCTGGTCCCCCCTCCCCAACAATTGCCCTTAGTCTTCTGTGGTTGTAAGCAGTTAACATTCTTATCCGTCTCAGATAGAGGTGCTCTCATCTTAAATCACAAACTTATTTCTTCCCCACTTAGTTGGGTATTGCCTGACTAAGCGGAAGCCCTTCTAGCTTTTCACTGTCTTACCATTAGCCATTTGACTATAGAGTTTGCTATTAGAAGGAACAAGTAGAGATCCATCACAATATTGCTCTAGTCGGGTGTGACAGGGTCACATGACATTGGTGCTAAGCCCTGGGCTCAAAACGCTTAAATTTGCCCTAGTCATGTTTGTTAATCCTTTTGTCTTCCAGCTCGGTGGATCATGTGGGACTACTCAACATTTCGTTGCTTCAGGTAAAAGAGTAACTGAGTTTCTCTTGCCTGTTAGTGCTGTACAACAGTTTTGTCAGCCTTGTTGTCTGCCTTGGATATCTGGATTGGCAAGATACAAAACAAATACAGTAATTATATACTTTGAGCATTTCTTTGGTTTCTTCTTGCTATGCAATAGGTAGTAGGAGTGGGCACGAACCTAAGACTTCTGGTTCCTGAATGAAGCCAAAAATACCTCAAGCCAAAAATGCCCTGAAACAAACCAGCCAGTTCGGATCCCCCTCTCTTCTGGAGAAGGGTGGGGGAATCGCCCGGGAAGGGTTAAATGGCTGGCAGCCATTTAACCCGTCTGTTTCACTTTCCCCTGCTTCAAAGCAGGGGGGATTGAACTGATGGGTTTAACTGCTCACCGCCATTTAAACCTAACAGCTGATGGACAGACCTGCCCCGTTAAGTTGAAATCACTGGCAGCCATTTCAGTAGTCTGTTTTGCTTCCCCCCCCCTTCCATGTGGATGGGGAGTGAAACCCACTGGTGAAATGGCTGGCAGTCATTTCGCTGGTGGGTTTCACTTCCTCTGCTTGGAAGAGGGGGAAGCGAAATGGACTGCTGACATGGCTCGCAGCCGTTTCAGCCCAATAGCAGGGCAGGTGTGCCCGTCAACTGTTAGGCTGCAAAGCGGGGTGAAGTGAAACCAACCGGTGCAACGGCTCGCAGCCATTTAAACCTAACAGGTCAGCTGTGAACACATGCTACTCAGCTGTTAGGTTTAAATGGCCTGAATAGCCGAACTGTGCAAAAGTCCAGTAAATTTCGGGGAAGGTGCATTCTCCAAACATCGGTTCTGGGGCTCTGAGCCAGGGCCAAGTTCGTACCGCATTTTGGCTAGTGAACTGGTTCGTGCTCATCCCTGATGGATGGCTTATTGACCCATTGTTCGGACGTTGTAATTTATTTATTTGATTTATACCCTGCCCTCCCTGCCGAAGCAGACTCAGGGTGGCTTACAAGGCCATTGGCAACATAAAAACATTAGAAATAGTTGATATCATAAAAACAAATTCCAAAGGTGCTGGCAAAGATTGTCCTCATATATGTGATGGCAAAGATTGTCCTCATCAGCTGCTGTAAAGTCAGCAGTAGTTGTACTGCTGGTGTCTGGCTCCTAGGCACATTGTAGAGAGCATTGCAGTAGTCTAATCTCGAGGTGACCATTGCATGGATCACCGTTGCCAGATCATCGCGTTCGAGGAAGGGAACCAACTGCCTAATCAGCTGGAGATGGTAAAAGGCTAACTTGACAGTGGCCATATTTACATGTCTTACTGTCCAGAACTTGATATTGTATTTTAAAACACACACACACACTTAACATTCACAAATACAGGAAACATACATAACTCTTTGTTATAAGCTCTCTTGGATTCTGTCATTTTGTTCTTATCCGTTTCATGTTACTGTTTCCACATGTGTATATTCTTTGATTAGCCAAATGGAATCGTGAATGTTCTTGCCTCATTAAATACTTTTCCTTAGACACTGCATTTCTAGATTTGATTTTCCCCTCCTCCTTTGATAATGAATCTTGATGCACTGTGTTCTGTATTTAAATCATCTTTACATATCAGCAGGTTGCCCTTTCATGGCATTATCATCATCTACCTGAGATGCTTTTATTTACAATATTTACTGACACACACACACACACACCCAGAAAAAAACAACTCTGGAATATAGTTTGAATTGTCTTTATAACATGGGCCTGCGTATTTGTAACTGTTCTTAAACTTTTTTTAAGAGAAGAAAGCTTTCAATAACAAAGCAAACCAGGATGAGGATGAAGGCGATGATCGAGGTAGGACAACAGATAAATTACGTGCTGCAGTAACATTTTTTTTCTTACTGAGTTAGTAAACCACTGTTGGGGTTGTATTAGGGTAGGGATAAGAGGCTCACATGATTTTAGGAATTGTTTCTGTGGAGGTGCATTTGCATCGGAAAATTAAAGGGTAGGCTGAGAACCCTTCTGCCTGACAAGCTCAGTCTTCTGTGTATAGTTATTTTATGTTTATTTTGTACAAAGACCCAACATACGGGGGTGTAACCCAGGCACAGGTTTACCACTTTAGTGAGAACTAGAAGTTAAATCCAGGAATTCTTTATGTTTTACTTTGGCGAGTGAGTACGCTGCCTCTTTTTCATAACGGAGTTCATCTGGATGGCCCAGGCTAGGCTGGTCTCGTCAGATCTCAGAAGCTAAGCAGGGTCATCCTGGATTGGTTACTTGGATGGGAGACTGCCAAGGAAGCCCAGGGTCAGTGCATAGAGGCAGCAGTGGCAAACCACCTCTGAGCATCTCTTGCCTTGAAAACTACGCAGTGGCCGTAAGTTGGCTGCGACTTGGCGGCGCTTTCCGCCACCTGCACCACAGCTCAACAGTAATCCTACAGATCTCTCTTTTTCTTGCACGCATACAGGATACTGATACCAATTCAGTGCAACATAGTGAATAAAGTATCAGAGGTGACCCAGGAGAACTTCAGTTCAGATGCCTGCTGAGACATAAAGTATGGGGGTTTTGCGCTGTGCTCCCCCTCTCCCCCAAATGGCATGGTTTTGTATCTGGACTTGCATAGATTGCTATATATTCGCCAACCTTCTGAATTTTACCTGGTTCTGTTTCAGGTTTTTCCACACCCGCTTTGGTAGATTTTTTTTTGAGAAGATTGTACCCAAAACAGGTTTGGGGATGGGAAGGCACAGATATCCGCACCTCCCAGCCAATGTCTGGCACCATCTTCCCTTGCTCCTGCCGTTCCCCCCTCCCCATAACTTTTTGCCTTTTAAAAATAAAATTATTAGTCATACGCATATTGCTACAGGTTCAAAACACTAGTGGTATTCCTATTACTGATTTTTTTCCCTTTTAAAAATGGGTAAAAAGTCCACAGTAAGCATGGGGGGAGGGGTGCAAGGGGAGAGCACAGAGAATCAGCTTGGAAGCAAATTTGCAGCAGCAATGAGATCAAGACAGGTGACACCCCCCCCCCCCTGTGGAGGCACCCACTGTTGATTCTTATGTTGCTTAGTTGGTGAGAGGCTGTTGCATACAGGGAGCCATTTAGCTCAGTGGATCAATCTGGAGGATTCGTGAGTTGGTGAAGAAGCACAAAGTGATGTGTGAGATAAATTCTTGTGGGTTCAGCATTGAGAAATGTGTTCTGGGACTCTTGATAGTCATAATTTGCTTCTCTTACAACAAGTTCTTACAGTATAGGCTACACCAACTATAGAGGCTCTTCTTTGTATCTTGTTTTACACGCCTCTAAAAACTTAGTTTTTATAAGGGTTGGCTACTTGATTCAAATAGTGAACGTCCTGATTTTGGTCTGCTGTTTACATTATGCAGTGAGTTCAGCAGAAACCTCACTCTTAAACAAGTTGATAAGAATATCCCTTGTGGACTCCAGCAACAATGTAGAAGTTCTCCAACGTGATCCCAGGTCACCGCTGTTTTCTGTAAAAACATTCGAAGAACTGCGTCTGTGAGTAACCATACAGTACATAACACAATGTCTGCAAGTGTCTGTGTGCGGTGAGGGGCCTTAACTGAACTAGTTTGCTTGAAACTAAGAGTCGTGGTAATTCACTAGAGAATTGTCATTCTTCCTGCTATCCAGTGGCCAGTGTTTTGAACTATGAGTATTGTTTCTGTAGTGTTTCTATCAGTATTGTTTCTGAATGTATGCTGTCTGTCATTTAAACTCTTTCTGACCCACTGTACCCTATTTCTGTTGATCCAAGTTGCTTCTCTTTTGCTGCTTATTTTCATTCCCTACTGCCACCTCCTGCTTGCATGGTAGTTCGTGTCCCATTCCTCTTTAATATTTGCATGGCTTTCCAACAAGGGTAGCACACACAGCATTTATGCAATCATGGTGACATATATTAGTGATACTATAGCTGGAGACTCTGACTACAGACTATAAATAAGTATGAGTGGGGGAAGTGTAAAGTGTGCCAATTTCTCTGCAGCAACTGCCATTTCTCTGCATTTTATTTTGACAACTATGGGTTTACCAACAGATTAGTTTACATCATAGATCAGGGCTCAACATGTTCCAGGTGCCTGATCATTGAGGTACCTGTTGTTTTCAGCAATAATGTTGTTGTAGCATCTCTAAGCATTTTTTCAGTGGAAATACAAAGGGTTAGATCCAACCAGTTTTCCCATTGGTTAAAATGGGAGGAAGGGGTCCAATTGGACCACCATAAAGGCGGTATGTTTGGAATCATGGGACCTGTATGGACAAAAGCAGCATGGAATGGGGACTCTAATACGGAGGAGAATTGGGCAAGATTGAGCAAAAAAGATGTTTGGATCAAACCCAAAACTCGTCATTTCACATCAGAGTGTTTTATTTAGGACACAAAAATAATGTGCATGAAGTTCTTGTTTACATGTAAACTTTACACCATTCAGTGGTAGTGCATGAATTCATTTCTTAATTTGCTGTTTTCCACACTGTTTCCAGCATTTAATTAAATTGAGCTTTTTAAAAGCAATAAGGGGATTATGAGAAAGTGGGAAGGAGTTAGGCTAGGGTTGATGACAACCACATGTTGATGATAACCAGGTTTACTCCTGTATTTATTTATACACTTCAACACTTTTGGCACAGCTTTTAGTACAATTATGAGAAACTGTGAAGAGGTTAGGAGTTGGTTTTGTGGTAGCAATAATTAGAGACCCTTGTCATTAACATGCAAAGCCCCGAAGGCTAAAAAAAGAAAGAAATCACAACCTTCCTCCTGAGTTTTTGGGCTGGCTTTTAGAGCCAGAGAAAATTTGCCAAGGCCTTTCATAGATTTATATAAACCTTCAGTATTGCAACAAGCTGGAAACAGAGAGCAAAAGGAACTGGGGAGTACTATTTAAAGCATCTGGTGGTGGGGAAAAGAATACTTCTAGCAGAACATTCAAATGTTCAGGTTAGCAAATTATGTCATACACGGGAAAAAGAAAAGTTCTTGCCCGCTTCAGCTAGGGAAAATACTTTACTTATCCCAAATAGCACAAATCTTCTTGGGGGAGAGCCAGTTTGGTGTAGTGGTTAGGAGCATGGATTCTAATCTGGGAGAACTGGGTTTGATTCCCCACTCCTCCGCATGCAGCTGTTGGTGTTACCTTGGGTCAGTCACAAGTTCTCTCAGAGCTGTTCTCTCAGGAACAGTTTTCAGAAGAGCTCTCTCAGCCCCACCTACCTCACAGGGTGTCTGCTGTGGGGAGGGGGAGAAGAGAAGAGATTGGATTTATACCCCACCCTACACTTGGAGTCTCAGAGCGGCTTACAAACTCCTTTCCCTTCCCCTCTCCACAACAGACACCCTGTGAGGTGGGTGGGGCTGAGAGAACTCTGATACAAACTGCTCTTTCAGGAACAGCTGTGCCAGAGCTTGTGACTGACCCAAGGTCACATCAGCAGGTGCAAGTGGAGGAGTGGAGAATCAAACCTGGGAGTGGGGATTGTAAACTGCTGTGAGACTCTTGGGTGGTGAAGTGTGGGATATAAATCCAATCTCTCTCTTCCTCTCCCTCTCTCCAAGAGTGTATTTATTTATACCCCGCTTTTCTCCACAATGGAGATCCAAAGCAGTTTACATTGTTTTCCTCTCCTCTTCTTGCTCCTCACAAGACAACAGTGAGGTAGGTTAGGCTGAGAGTGTGTAACTGCCCTAGGGTCACCAAGCAAACCTCCGTGACTTCCAATACACTGAGAAGCCATTTTGGTACTTACCATGTTTCTTTGTTTGTTGGATGTCCCCATGCTAGAAGAAGAAGAGTTGGTTTTTATACCCCACTTTTCTCTACCCAAAAGAGTCTTAAAGCGCCTTACAATCGCCTTCCCTTCCTCTCCCCACAGCAGTCACTTTGTGAGGTAGGTGGGGCTGAGAGCACTCTGAGAAAACTGTGACTGGTCCAAGATCTCCCAGCTGGCTTCATGTGGAGGAGTGGGGAATCGAACCCAGTTTTCCAGATTAGAGTCCGCCGCTCTTAACCACTACACCAAACTGGCTCATGCTATTTGATTGCATTGTCTTACACTGTAATCCTCCTGGAGTCTCAGCAAGAAAGGCAAGCTGGCAATAATGTAAGAAGTAAAGTAAACCGTTTCACTTGAGGGGGGAACCTCTAAAACTAATAGTTCGCTTCATGCCACTGTGTGAAAGTAAATATTCTTCAGCTGTTCTGTAGTATAGAGGTGGCAGCTAGCAGTACTGTCATACCTGCTTAGTTGTTGCACTGCATTTTGATGTCGGGAAAGCTTAAAGTCAAAATCGTCACCTTGGTTTTATTAGGATTTCTTAACGTCTTGTTGATAAAAAACTGCTTTGTCTCTCATTTAACAGAAAAGATGAGCTGTTACAAGGAATTTACAGCATGGGTTTTAACAGGCCATCCAAAATACAAGAGACTGCTCTTATGGTGCTGGAGAAGACTCTTGAGAGTCCCTTGGACTGCAAGAAGATCAAATCAGTCAATCCTAAAAGAAATCAACCCTGACTGTTCCCTGGAAGGCCAGATAATGAAACTGAAGCTCAAATACTTTGGCCACCAAATGAGAAGGGAGCCCTCACTGTAGAAGACCCTGATGCTGGGAAAGATTGAAGGTCAAAGAAGAAGGGGACGGCAAAGGATGAGATGGTTAGACAGTGTCATAGATGCAACGAACATAAAATTGAGCAAACTTCAGAGGACGGCGGAAGACAGGAGGGTCTGGCGGGAGCTGGTCCATGGGGTCGTGAAGAGTCGGACTCGACTGTGCAACTGAACAACAACAACAACCTGCCAAGCAGATGCTCTATCACTGAGTTATGACCCCTTCGCTATGCGTTGTGCTGCTTGCCCCTCCCTCATCTCCAATTTTGTATTTATTTTTTGGTTTTGTCTCTTCCATTTGTCTCTTTATCACAATTGGTTTTCTGTCCCTGTCGTGCCATTTCTGCTTTGTTTGGAGATACTTTTTTGATCATTCCCCCCTCTCCCCAAAAAAGAATCCGGTGTCCCTCTTCCTTTCTTGAACGATTGTTATCTGTTGGTAATAATGCAAGCTTGATTCTGTATTCCAGACCACAAAATCTTATTGCTCAGAGCCAATCGGGGACTGGTAAAACGGCTGCTTTTGCCTTGGCTATGTTGAGCAGAGTAAATCCAACAGAAAGATTTCCACAGGTAAAATATCAACATAAGCTGGTTGTGATGCTCGCAGACACCTTGTTGTTAACTTGGGAGTTGAGTTGTGCCAAACTGCAGTTGCCCTATTGTTTCCCAAACCTGCAGTCAGAACAAATTTTCATGCTGGGTGGATGGGCAGGTTAGAATTTTCAAACCTTTTCACCCACAGTGGCACCATTTTGCCTCTACCATCCCCTTGCAGCTGTCAAAACCCTCCCCCCCATTTTTAATCAGGTTTTAAAAAATATAAGTGGGAATACACTAAGTTGGCTTGGAAGTCAAAAGAGGCTAGTCAAGGGACTTCTTCTCCCTTCTCCTGTACACTACACGGCGATCAGGGTTTGCAGGCTGGGAATTGCTCCCTTTATCTTCCCTTCCCTTGGAATCCCTACTGAAAGCAGTTCTCCATTGGGCCCCAGTCTCTCTGCTACCTACCCACTCTCCACCTTGCCTGCTTCTGCCTACCCCCAGTCCTGCTCCGCTCTCCCAGGGCTGAGCTGGTGCCAAACAGAGAAGTGCTCTCAGGAGGGGGCATGATGCAGCCTGTGGGTGGGCAAAGGGAAGCCCTTTTCAGCCTCCCTGCTCCAGCTCTGGGGTGGAAAGTACAGCAGAAAGTCCCATGTAGACTCTGTGCACGAATGTGGAACGATGAATCATTGTCCTATGAAAGCGACCAAAGATCTGTAGTGAGAGTTTTAAGGATCATGACTGCATTCATTGCAATATAACTAACCTATTAAGGAATTTCGTATTTACTCAGGTGGGTTTGGGTTTTAAAATGTAGTCAAAGTATTTGTGTTTTGCTTAAGAAAGCTAAAGTTGCATAGTGGCTAAAACTGAGTAACAAGTCAGGCAATCCATAGCATGAAATCTTGCTAGGTGGTCTTGGGCAAGACCCCTCCCAATACTTTCTGGAGTTTCAAGAAAATAATGCATGTTTCATACTTTGAATGTGTGGATGTGTTATAAAATAGTACAACTTGCAGCTTATAGACTGCTAACAATATTTACCTGTTCACAAGGAGGATTTTAAGGCGCTGCTTTCCTTTTGCCTGTACAACTCAATATCATCAGAGCTGTGGGGAAAATAAGAATTTTACATCTACCAAACCTGCTGTTTTTCAAGGCTCAATGATATGTGCTACAAGTCCAACTTGCAGTCACATGTAACATTTGGATTGAATTTGGCTCAGCAGCACACAACGGGAAAGAAGTGCTTTGGCCTTCCCTCCTGCACTGTTTTCCCAAGCCTGGGGGTGACAAACAAATGCCTCCCCTCTGGCCATTTCGGCTCAGGAAAATTGTGCAAGAGGGAAGGCTGAAGTTCTTCCTTCGCTACATATTCCTAAGCCAAATTGTGCTCCAGAGCACCTGGGAGGGAATCTGTATGCTTTTAACTTCAGCTTGGGAAGTGAAGCAAGGGGAAAACCAGCACAAAAGCACTCTCAGAAAACACAGGAAAACAGGGGGAACGGAAAGCGAACTGAGTGCCAAAGGAAGAAAAAACAATGCAGAACGAAAAAGAAAAACCTGACGGACATGCACGGTGACAGCGAGGCAAAACACTTGTGCACAATAGGCTATAATCTAGTTTGGTCCTCAGGATATTCCCCTTGAGGTTACAGGCATAAGTACTCATATTTTCACTATGCTCTTGGGCACTCTTCTTGCTGTTCCATGCATAATATAAAAATAATATTGCTTGTTCAGTCCATACCCATGTTGACAATACCGTGGGAGTGATTTTCTGACAGTTATACCTGACTTTTGACTGTATATTTAGTGTCTTGGGAAGGGTGTAAAATCGAATTCCAGGGAAAAATACCCATGGATTGCATTTGCCGTTGCCCCTAACTTGTGGCTGCTCAAACATGCCAAGTTTTATCTCAGTCCATCTTTATTGTCTCATCCTAAAGTGCCTCTGCTTAAGTCCCACCTTTGAACTGGCTGTGCAAACGGGACAGGTAATTGAGAAGATGGGAAAGTTCTGTGTAAATATTGGAGTTATCTATGCTGTCCGAGGAAACAGACGTAAGTATCTCTCAAGTGCATTTTGTTGCTTAACATTTAAACTTTTACTTGTAGACTTCCTCTACAAATATGCTTTAACTGTGCTTGCTGTAAAATATGTACTCAGTAATTTTACTTGCATCCTGCTGTTATCTATTGTGAAACCAGCTTTTCCTTTTTTTTTTCATAACGCTTCTGCCTATGCAGTGAAGAAATCAAAATTAACCCTAGAAATGTGGTGAATGCTGCTGCAATAATGTATGTTTTTAGTATGAGTGTTGCCACCAACTATGGGACAGTGCCTGATGAGTGGCACAGTCTACAAAAACATAAGAGAAGCCATGTTGGATCAGGCCAATGGCCCATCCAGTCCAACACTCTGTGTCACACAGAGGCCGAAACCCAGGTGCCATCAGGAGGACCACCAGCAGAGCCAGAACTCTAGCAGCCTTCCCACTGTTGCCTTCCAAGAATCAAGAATAAAGACATCACTGCCCCAGACAGTGTTCCATCTATACCTTGTGACTAATAGCCATTGATGGACCTGTGCTCCATATGTTTATGTCATCGCTCTTGAAACTGTCAATGCTTGTAGGTGCCACTAGAAATGTGTTCATATAGGCCTTTAAAATTATTTTTAAAACAGAGGCTAAATGGTTATCGTCCCCTCCAAACTGTAGTCTCTCTCTTGCTCTCTCTTTTGAACTCCCTTAATAATGAAATTTTTCACCACTCGACATATTTGTATGTGATTAAGAAAAGTGCCTGCAGTCAGGAGTGCTGAATACTCTGCCCTTTCCTCATTGTCTGCTTATCCCGCTATTAGTGCAGGAACAGGAAGATACCACTAACTGCTTTAAAAAAATAATGCTGTTTGCACCCTCAATCTTTTTAATGTAGCAAATATGCTCTTGACAACATAGAATAAGTGGTGTTTTTCTCTCTCAGTTCCAAGAAAAACCATCATTGAACAACAAATAGTAATCGGAACCCCGGGAACTCTGCTAGATTGGTGTTTCAAGCTAAAACTTCTGGATGTGAAGAAAATCCGAGTGTTTGTGCTGGATGAAGCAGACGTCATGATCAATAAACAGAACTTCTCGGACCAGAGTATCCGGATTCAGCGGTAAGCATTGGTTAGCTGTTCTGTTTGTATTTCTTATTGTAAGCTGCCTTAAGAGTATTTCTGAAAGGCAGAGTATGATTTTGACTAAATAACTTAGTATTGCATAATTAACTTGTAGAACTTGCTGCCCAGTCTGAAGTGATGGGCTACTAGTTATTTAGATGGCCTCAGAAGAGGATTAACCACAGGAGGGATCGCTGTTCAATAAGATACAACCAGAAAACTGTAAAACCGTACCAGTATGATGCTGTAGACTAATGAAGACTATTTTTTATAAAAAACACTACAGTATATTTTTTTCTTTTCAAAATTCAACCCACTAATATACAATGTACTATCAAAGAATCTCTCTTTACATTGAAGAATCCTATGATATAGGAAAATCAGTGTGCCACGCTTGGGGCAAAAACACTGCCTATGGCCACTGCCTTGATTGCAAGGTAAAAATCCTCCCCATACCTAAAGCAGTTCTTTTCTAAAATGATGTCAGTTGGGTGTAATAAAAAATGAGTGGGAGGAAAACAGTCTATGCAATTTGCCTTGGCAAAGTGGGATATAAATCGAAAGTAATAAATAAATAAATCTAAAGACATTTGTAGATAATCCCTTGCTTCAGGGTGGGGGATATTGGTGTATAAAGATGTTACGTCCAGATACATTACTGCAATATTCTAAGGGACCTCGAGATTCTCTGTTTGACTAATAAAATCAGTAGTATCCTTTAAGTGTACTTAAGACAGTGGTTCCAACAAAGTATTGTAGCCTGGAATTATTGGTCCGACCCAGGTTTATGCACCTTGAGTAATACATAGAACACTAGCACTCTTGGATATTTATTAATTAAGAATTATGCCACCTTTTCATTAATATATTCCAATGCAGGGGCTTCACTGACTACTGTCATTATGAGTTTTGAAATTTGTTCAATGGGATTGTAATCTATGGGTAAGTAGAAATTCGTATCCTGAAGCTGTCTCCCAATCTCTCCATTATAATCTTTATAATCCATTAATACAATCCCACCCCTTTGTCTGTGTCCTTTATCACTAGTGTTTTATCCTTAGATTATCAAGGACCTTTCATTCCTCCTTAGTGAGGTTATGTCGATTATGAGAGATGAGGAGACAGTTTCTATTTACCCATGCCCTTTATCACTAGTGTTTTATCCTTAGCCAGATTATCTCGGTCCTTTCATTCCTCCTTAGTGAGGTTATGTTGATTATGATAGATGAGGAGACAGTTTCTATTTACCCATAGATTATGGTTCTTCAGATTAGAGTCCACCGCTCTTAATCATTATATTACATTGGCACGTTATTATAACAAGTGCTGGCAAAAAATTCAGGAACGTTAGTTTGGGGATGAAATGTAGTCTGCTTCAGGCCCTGTGCAATAGGACCATTATCTTTTTTCTTTCAGGGTATTATCGCCTGATTGCCAGATGCTTCTGTTCTCAGCGACATTTGAAGATCCTGTGCTGCTCTTTGCACAGCGCATTGTACCAGATCCCAACATTATTAAGCTCCGCAGAGAAGAGCTGACTCTCGACAATATCAGGCAGTACTACTTTGTGTGTGAGAATAATGAAGATAAGTACAAAGCTCTGTGCAATATCTATGGCAGTATCACTGTTGGCCAGGCGATAATCTTTTGTCAGGTAAATTTCCGCTATTTCTTCAGCTAACTTGAAAGGGGCCAAAACATAGATGTAGGAGAGGCTCACTGTCTTGGCAACAGGGATGTAATTTGTTGCATAGCAGTTGGGCAACCCTCAAGTTAGTGAGGGGCAGATCAGCGTTGTATCTCTTTCCCATCTGACCACTTACTTGGTAGAGCTCCTTCAATGGCTGATTCTCACAGTGATGTCAGAAAGGTGGAAGGGGCTGTGGCTTAGTGGTAGAGCCTCTGCCTGGCATGCAGAAGGTCCCAGGTTCAGGATCTGGCAGCAGGTGATGTGAAAGATCCTGCAAAGCCTTTGCCAGTCTGAGTAGACAGTATTGACTATGATGGACGAAGAGTCTTGATTCAGTATAAGGTGGCTTCATGTGATCCTGAGAGAGCTGGACATTGCTGACTTTTACTGTCTGTCCATAGTGGCCATGCAAAGAAGTTGACTTGGTTTAGTTTCAGGTGTGCCACTGCAGGCATCTTCATAATAATGTGAAAAAAGCGAACTCCAGGCTGACCTCCGTTCATGCCGGAGTGTGATGCCATCTTAGCGTTCAGTCCAGAGTGCCTGTTTTCTCTCCAGGTTGGAGCTGTGAAAAAAGTATCTGTGTGTGTCTGCAGTAAAAGGTCGGTTGTCTCAGTGTTGATTGGCTGATGCTTGTGATGTCACTTCCTGCCATCCCAGAGGAGCTTAGAACATTAAAACACTTGAATTTCTTTTTAATAAGATGATGAATGAATGGATAAACACTCCTGGAGTACTTAAAAATAGTAGATAGTTCACCTGAAATTCTGGAGGAGAACTGACAGCAAACAAAAAGGGGGAGAAAAACTTAACCCAAAGAACTGAATTAAGAACCAAAAGGTTAAAGAAATGGAAATTAAGAGGTCAAATAATGAAATGTCTCTACAAAGAACATCAATTTAAACAAAAATACATGTATTTATTACCATCAGGTTAATAATGGTTACAGGTCCAAGTAATAGCCTCAATAATCAGAATAAAATAATATATAAATCTGAAACATAGACTTATGCAACCTTGACCATGTACATTTCAGCCAAATGTCCTCCTTTAATGGTCAAGTGTGATTTATTGCACGTTAGTGCTAGACATTGCAGTCACAATACAATAGTTCCTAAAGATTGGACCAAATATAAATTATTTTATGCTCAAGATCTGTAATCCAAGGCAGAGATATGATTAAAAGGCCTCAGTTTATTATTTATTTTATTATTTGTATTTATAGCCCACCCATCCCCACCCACCTTTTGGTTCTTAACACGTTATTATGAGCATCTATCACTGCAGTTGCATGAGAGATAGCTGGGCATGCATGTGGCTTCAGGACCTGCTATAAGTTGTCCCCTTGTAAAATGTCCACCTTCGCCTGAAAACACAATTACCATTTAACTGGCTTTACTCTGTGACGTAAACAACACCCTTTCTATTAAGAAGCACGGGCATCTAGTGTCGCGGTGTAGGAAGAACGGGAATCCAGTGTCTCACTGTGGGAGGAACAGGTGGCACTGGGCCAGAGTGTTAAAACCTGGACTACCACAGCATAACCAGGCTGTCTCGGCGTGTGGCTGTCTCCGTGTGTGTCAGCGGTGTCTATAATCTTGTGTCTGTCTTTTCTTGCCCCCATTCATTTAACAGACCCGTAAGAATGCTAAATGGCTAGCACTGCAGCTGTCGAACGATGGGCACCAAGTATCCCTCTTAAGCGGGGAGCTTACCGTTGAGCAACGGGCGGATATCATCCAGCGATTCCGTGAGGGGAAGCATAAAGTCCTCATCACAACCAATGTCTGTGCCAGAGGTACTGAGTCCAAAAAATCAGAGCAGAATTAATTGCCCGGAATGTGTGCTTGTGCACTGAGAGCACTCAATTAACCCCCTTGTTTATACCTGCCTGTAGGCATTGATGTGAAACAGGTCACCATAGTGGTCAACTTCAGCCTGCCCACCAACCTTGAAGACTTTGCTGATTTTGACACCTACCTTCACCGCATAGGCCGCGCAGGGCGCTTCGGGAAGAAAGGCGTGGCCTTCAACATGGTCGAAAGGCATAAGTTACCCCTGCTGCTTGCGATTGAAGAGCATTTCAGTGAGTACACTGTCACTTTCATGCCTGTTTGGGTGGAACACCAGGTTTTGGACCTGCCTGAATGGGGTGTGAATCCCTGCTTGGAAAGGAGTTGGCTGACTTCTCATTTCCGAGAAATAGAATTACAAAGCTAAATGTGAGATTGTGATGCGCTTGATCTTTTGAGTAGCGGAATAAAGTAACTAATGGATTTGGCGGGGTGGCCTGATACATGCCTCTGAGGACTATGCTCAAGACCGAGTAACTCATGGGGTGACCATAGGGTTGCCAATGTTGGGTTGGGAAACTCCTGGAGATAGGGGGGTGGAGCCCAGGGTGGGGGGGAGAGGACCTCAGTGAAGTATAATGCCATAGTGTCCATTCACTGAAGCTGCCGTTTTCTCCAGGGGAACTGGCCCATGTAGTTTGGAGGTCAGTAGTAATTCCAGGCGATCTCTAGGCTTCGCCTGAAGGGTAACAGGCCCAGCTGACAGTCATGTGGCCTGCAAAGGAATCAGCTGGGTTCAAAAGTATTCTGCTGTAAGTGTCTGATTTGCACTAGTTGTGTCATCTGGGCTGGCTTCTTTGTATGCCAGGGTGGGTGATTTTGCCTAGGAATTGCAAGCTTCAGGATGGTACAGAACAATTCCAAGAGTTGAAAGACAGGCACTTAGGATTTCTGCCTCTGGGAAATGTGTCATTGGAAAGTAGTGCTCTGTCTTCCGTTCAGCTGTTCTTGCTGAATTAATTTAATGTATGAATTCTATCTGTTCTCAGTTGGCTTTTGGGGGCACAAAGAAAGTGACTACAAGTAATTAGAAAAATAAAATGAAACTTGACATGTGGGAAGATCTTGGGGGTTTCGTCAGAGTTACTCCAGCCCACACATCTCTGCACTGAAGTACTCCCTTTCTTCATTCATGGGGTAGACACGGCTGCATGGCATGTTTGTCATTCACTTGAATACATGAGATTGCAACGCACATTTGTCTCAGAGGTTGTACAACAGCTGCATGAAACAGAGGAGTGATGGTGTTGTGGGTTGCTAAGATGTAGGCCCCAGATGATGTCAGGAAGACTGATGATGCCTCTCATTGAAAAACAGCTTGAATATGCTAATGCATATGCAGGGGTTTCATTCTGAATGCTAAGCCAAGTATACCAATTTTCGTTCCTGATGCCCAGACAATTATGTGCAGGTAAATTTCTAGCAGCTGTCTGGAGATAGAGAATCATGCCATGTATCTGTTTGAGTGGGAGATAGAGGAAGCTACAAGAAAATTAAAGCGGGGGCCGGGGGGGACCAAAGCTGCAGCTAATGGAAGATAACTTTTTCTGTGCGCTTGCAAGAAACAACTGGTTGCTGCTCAGCAGGCGAGGGGCTTAGGAATCCTTGAGGAGGATGCAAAGCTTTTTCAGCCGACTTCACTTCATTGCTTATCATTCTGTGCATCTTTTAATCTGCATTTTTAAAATCTAGTTAGAGGACTGTTACATTTGTGTCCTCAGAACTTGGTGTTGAATCATTCGCAGCCTTGAGAAAGGAGATACGGCAGGATAAAAGTGTGTGGCGAAACGGGCCCTGTTTCACCCTGCCCTCCAAAGTTTTCCCAACACCTGGAGAGGCTTTTCTTTCTCTCTCAGGTAACCACTGCCACCACCTGACCTTTGTAAGGAATTGCCTGCTGGAAGGGTCAGGACTCTCAGCTTCCCTTACAAGTTCTGAGGCCTTGCCTCTGTCTCTGTCCAGTGCCTGATCACCACAGGGACAGTTTACTGCCTTGTGTTCCCCTGGAGGAATAGCCACTTGGCGACTGATTGCTTTCTCTCAGGTGCTTCTTTTAAAAGAGCATGTCCAAAACAGTGGAGGTCTATGTGGTACAGAGAACCACTACTAGCATCCAAAGTTATAAAGTATTTATTTTTTTAAAAAGTTCACAAGCATACTTTTAGTACAGCACCAGATTGAGCAAGGGATTCAAAAGAAATGGATAAAATGCAATTCCTCTGTCCCTGTGTCTATTCATTCCCTATCAGCTGTTAAAACGTAAGACAGGCTCAGGATGTTACCATTACCTTGCAGCTTCCTCCAGCTCTTCAGGCCAGTACATGGTTAATGGCCGCCTCCTCCAGACTTCAGTTAAGAGTTCTATCTGCTCTAATGGCCTCAGAGTCAGCACCAAAGAGTGCTTCCTCCTTGCTCCTGTGAGTTTTATCACTTATTCCCCACACCCACTGTCCAGGTCAGGCTGGGTCAACGAAGCTTTTCCTGGAGATCTTCAGGAGTTTGTTCTTGAAGTCTCTCTAGTATTTAACACCTCCAGATCTCTGTTCCCTGCTTGAAGGGAGGGAAGGGGGGGAGAGAGACTGGACCTTCCAATTGTCTCTAACTGTTAGCATTTCTTAAGAGGTAACTGAGGTGAGCTTGGAAAGCCACTGACTGACTTCCTCCTCCCTGCCTGCTCTATGCCTAGAGAGAGAGGGGGAAAACTTGTTAAAACCAATGTTCCCTCTAAGCTGTGGAATCTTGTGAGCAAGAATTCTACTTTGTGAGCTCCTGGCATTAAAGTTGTGAGCAAGCTATTTGGCTACTGCATAAATCAGTTTGCTCTGGAGCCATCCTCCCTGAGCTAAGAGAAAAATGTGTGAGCCAGAGGCTAAAAAACTGTGAGCTAGCTCACACTAAATCAGCTTAGAGGGAACACTGGTTAAAACACAAAGTGAAGGTTTTGCTCATTTCAACCTCCAAAGAAAAAAATACATTTCTTCACAAAATGTATAAATACAGCTCCCCTCATGGCATTCCCTTTCCAAAAAGGACAATTAGAAAATAACTTCCTTTTCTCTTTCAGAGACCGCCATTAAGTACCTTGACCCAGAAGACATGGACATGCTAGAAAAACTAGAAAACTGAATTCTTTAAAATGTTAAATAATCTGCAAAAAAATAAGTTTGTCAGAATTGGAAAAAAAAACCACTGCTCGTAGTTTGCTGTTAAATAATAAATTCAGTGACTTTCCTGGTTACCAGAAATGGGGGGAAAAAACACTTGAATGATATTGGATTTTTGTATCTTTCTTTTTGACTAAGGTATCTGTAAGCAACTGGCTGTAGTCTTTACCCAAGTGTCCCTGTGCTATCCATGATTTTAATTCTGTGGGATGGCTCAGTGTTACCCTGTTTCCCCAAAAATAAGACCTACCCCCAAAATAAGCCCTAGCAGGATTTCTATGCATTTGTGGTATAAGCCCTAGTGTGTCTTCTTAAGAAAAAATAAATATAAGACAGTGTCTTATTTTCGGGGAAACATGGTATTTTACCAATAGCTGTGATGGTGGAGATTCCCTCGGACCTGAGTAGCTAATGACTTGGCATTCTGGAGTGCCAGCATCCTGTTTTAGGATTGCAATAGGAAGTAGCTTTAGCATATGGACTAAATTACAGATTAATCAAGTAAATTGTCTTGCTTTGGTACAAGAGTATTGCTAGTAATTAAATCACGAGCCTTTAGATGGCAGCATCTGCTTTATTGAAAGGCAAGGAAGAGGCACAAAAGGGATCTCGCAGTCCAAAGCTGCTTTTGCCCTGTTTCCACTCCAACCTCCAGGGCCTTGGAAAGTGGTTAACAGGTCAGTCTGTTATTTGACCACTAGGACCAGCCAGCCTTTTATAGAATAACTAATCACCAGCCACAGTTCTGCATTAGAGGGAAATCTTCTGTAGAAAATGCCCAGCAGTATGTCAATGTCCTGATAAAGGCATTATTGAATCTAAGCACTGCCTGTATGTCATGAGAGGCTGGAGAGGGCAGTGGCTTTTTCTTCAATGGGTTTTAAACTTGTGCTGAAACCTTGAACTGGGTAGGAGTTACTTATGACTAAGCACGCATAAGCTATACCTAGTCCTCAGTCATACAGATGAAAGGAATATAAGCCACACTGGGGAAAAAATACTTTTGCCTCTGCAGCTGGGCCTTTAGTTATAACTTGAGGAATAGCAGCCGGTGATGCTCACGCTTATGCTTTGACAAGCTGCTGATCCAGTGGTAACCTTGCAGAGGAGCCATTCCAGATTCCTGTTTTCAAGACAGCATCTCTAAGTCACACAAATACCTACAGTCCTGCATTAACCCTCCTCCATATTGCAATCAAGATCTCCTTTTTCTAGTTCTGTATTGCAAGCAGTGTCCTTCCTAACATTTTTATGTTCCTTGCAATAACTGGACCCAGGGTAATCGAGTGAAGTAATTGCACATGGACTTGAAGTGCATTTCATAGATGGACGTGTAATATTTAAATGTGTTTTGCATTCACCTGTCTTTAATACCTGACTGAACTGCACAGATTAATGGTTGTGTTGTTCCTTGTTAGAAATTAACAAGTGGGGCTTTTCAGGGCATGGTGGTGAGCATTATCACCTGCAAACTGCTGCTGTTAAAAGTTACAGCAGTAGAGGAAGTAGAGGCTTTGCAAGTTTACCACTTGGCAAGGAAAACAAACAGGAAGACTTTGCAGGTGACCTAGAAGGACCATTCCCAAAGTCACAAACACAAAACTGCCAAAAGTCCTTTTGATATTGGGGGGGGGGGGACTTATGCATGCTGTAGGACCCTGCTCCTGACCTCCTGGAGTCCCTCCTCTTTGTTGCTGTTTTAATTAGGCAAAGCCATTCCTTGTCTCAATATTACAGAGTTGCAAATCTCATCATTTCCTAGGCACAATATCAAAAGCAGTCTTTGCTGTTTAAAATTCGATGTAAGTTAAAGCTGTATCTTTAAAAAAATAATAATCCTGGAAGGAAGTTTAATTATTGGATATGCTAGCTGAAGCGAAGTGCAGACTTTTGCTTTGTGACTCTTGGTGTAAAATCCCCTCCACATCTAGCACAGGAAGTGCCATCTTGCCTTGTTTTCAGCCTGCTTGACACATTATATCCCTCGGCCCCCTCTAGCCAAAACAATCTGCAATAAAAGGGAATTATAAATGATTACCAAGGAGCCGTGTTGCTCCTCAGCTGCCAAATTGTTTCTTAAAAGCTTATAATTTATTATTTCTCTTTCCCGCTGAAGTATTTTTATTAGGTCGAAGTGCTGACTGTTATCATGGGGTGGATTTGTCCTCTCCCCCCCCCCCCTGCCCTTTTGCTTTCCTTAACCCCTCAATGACTTTCCTGTAGACAAAAGAAACTACACGGGGAGGCGTCTGGCACTAGCTCAACCCAGCGTGAACCTGTAAGAATGAACTGCCGTGTCTCCAAATCTTAGCAAAGCACTTCGGTCCTCTAGCTTCCAGCGCCAATGATTTTGTTTCACTGTCAAAACTCTGCTAGGAATTTTGGGGCTCCTGTTTATAGGACATCGTTATTGGTCTTCATAGGTCGGGACGCACCTGACCAGCTTTCATCCACAGAGTCTGGCAGCAATCCTGCATCTTTTTAATGGCTCCAACTAACCGTCCTGGAGGATCAAGCATCGTAACAGAGTTGACACCATCCAGCAACTAGGGTTTTCTGTTTGCGGCTCATGAGTGCATAAGTGCATACAAGTGTCTACTTCTTAGTACACCTTATGAAGAGAGCCGTCAAGATCAGCACTGAAGAGTGGAATGTGATTTTTTACCATTTGTAAAATACAGGGACTTGCCTGTGCAACGCACACTGGTGCCAGCTCTGCCCAGGTCTCATTTGGAGGATTAGATCCAACGACCTGTTAGTGGAAAGGTGCTCACAGTTGTGAAATCTTACCTGGCTTCCCCTTGCCCCAATAGCCCTAATTTCAGAGAGGCTGCTTATTAGGGTTTGCATCAATGTTCCCTCTAAACTGGGTTAGTGTGAGCTTGCGCACAGTTTTTTAGCCCCCGGCTCACACTTTTTTTTCTTAGCTCAGGAAGGAGAGCTCCAGAGCAAACTAATTTATGCAGTAGCCAAATGGCTCGCTCACAGCTTTAATGCCAGTAGCTCACAACATAGGATTTTTGCTCACAAGGCTCCCCAGCTTAGAGGAAGCATTGGTCTGCATGAGCTCATAACTATGCAAGTTGGGGATCTTCAGTGTAGCAGGGAAAGGCGATGAGATTGTCCTTCCTGTGCTAGAGGAAGAGGGTGATTTCAGCCCAACCGGTGCAGCTTTTATTCCATACGGGTTCCATGACTAGAGAAAAGGCTAGGGTGGCCATATCCATGCTGGAGGTTGCGAGTGGGTCATTTGTAGATGGCAGCCTGTGGCTCATATGCCAGAACAGTGCAGGAAGCTGGGGTCTTACTGGGCAGGAGGCCTCTTTCTTCAGTGCTGCACTGCTGCCTGATCTCCACCCCAGTGCACTGGAGACGAAACCACTGTAGGCTTGGGGAGTTGCCAGTTTTTTAGTTCATGGCAGCATGCCACTTGAGTAGGTGCACACTTACCAAAAAGTTGGGCATCAGTAAATTTTAAAAATTGAATGAGCTCTTTTAACCTCCACAGCCAGAGCCAATAATCCTCTGAATGCCAGTGCTAGAAGGCGACATCAGGGGAAGTCCTTGACCTCTCTATGCCATTTTTCTTGGTCCTCCAGGGCAACTGCTTTGTCACTGTGTGAAACAGGAAACTGGATGAGATGGGAGGGGCTGTGGCTCAGTGGAAGAGTCTCTGCTTGGCATGCAGAAGGTCCCAGGTTCAATCCTTGGCATCTCCAGTAAAAAGGGACAGGCAGACTGTGATGGGAAAGACCTCTGCCCAAGAGCTGTTTCCAGTCTCAATAGGCAGTAATGACTGAATCAGTATAAGGCAGATTCATGTGTTCTTGCGGCCACTGGTCTAATCCAGCAGGGTAATGCTTGCATCTCTACAATCTGCTTTAAAATTTCGACTTGCTCTGAATATTGTGGCTGTTCCCTTATTAAATTTATGCTCCACCATTCACCCCAAACTGGGTTCCCTAAGCAGTTTATAAACACTGAAGACAATACAAAACCAGGAATGATAGTATTTTAAGACAAATGAGACTGGCCAAAGTCCTTTTTACAACACTGTGAATATCAGTCTTTGTAACCAGAAGCCCTATTCAGAATAGTGGGGCAACCTACATGAATGGTAGCCTTCACAGTTTTAACAATCAATAGGGAGTAGAATGGTTTGGGGATTATAGTGGGACAAAGAAGAAAATAGTTTATGAGCAGAAGTACGTGGATCAGCAGAGGACGTCTTAGATGTGGTATAGGAATAATGTGTTTCCTCTCTTCATAATGAGATTAAGAATTACCAGCTAAGAAGACTTTCTCTCCATACCTATACACATGCATGCACTTAGATTTATTTTTCTTTTTACAGTAAATCAAAAATCCGGGCATACAACAGATTCAACAGGCTAACAATGAGAGGAATATGATAGTCAGAAATATTACACACTCAACAGCTGTACCTTGGATTTACAATACCCACACCGCTAAGAGCTGGGTTTAATGCAAACCTTGCCAAAAAGAACTGGGCTGCTGTGTATAGATCAAAGGAATGGAATCTAATGTTCCTCTTTCCACATAACCTCCTGTGTGCTCTCATTGTCCACAAAGGAAAGCAATGGAACCAGGTACTTGAAAAGAGTCTTCTGGCTTCCTTTTCCCGCCGCACAAGCATCTGTGTTTCTGTTTACCCTTGAAGAGTACTTGCCAAAGTACCATGGGAATCCCCTTGGAACACCACTTGGTGACAATAATTACTTTAGTAGCCATAAATAAACAGGTAGTTAAGATCCTGAAACGAGTTGCTGGGGGATGTGGCTCCATGGAAGAGCCTCTGCTTTGCACCCAGAAGGTCCCGGGCTGAATCACCAGCATCTCCTGTTAAAAAGACCAGGCAGTAGGTGATGTGAAAGACCTCTGCCTGACACCCCGGAGAGCTGCAACTAGTCCGAGTAGACAATACTGAGCTTGATGGACCAA